GCATCTCATTACTACTTGCTTTAATTAACCAGGCTCAAATTTCACGAATTCATCACTAATACTACAGTTTCTACATGATCCTTTGTTGGTTGACAGACGAGAAAATGAAGGATTTCATCCCATCCACCATAATTTTACCAATCAATCGATAAAGTAGAAAATACCATTGACAAAAAATATTTTTTTATACCCAGAAGTTTTGAACAGTAAAAGTAGTATGTTAGTTTCGTGAGATCTTCCAAAGAAGAAGATTATGAATAGGACAATTTCTATAATTATTATTGTATACTCTCTTCAACCTTAATAGTTGCGTAATATCCCAACATATTTGTTTCAGTTCCAGCCTGATTTAATAAATTAGCACCAAAAAACAGAGTAGTAGCTTAATGCGCCTTCATTAACGATTCTTTACGTAGAAATGCGGGTAATTGTCAAGAATCATACAAATGCAATAAATAGACGGATGCACTTTTCTAGTCGCATATATGTCAACTTAGAGGATAAATGAATAAATCCTAGCCATGCATCAATGATTTCTTTATAATGATATTTTGACCCTGAACCTGTAACATTCAAAGAGTATGTGCACATATACATGTACTTATGCAAGGCTATTTTTAAACAAAATTGAAAACCTAATTAAAGAAAAGCAGTGGGATGGAATAGTAGACAAAAGAAATCTAACTTAATTCCAAGATGACCGAGAACTCTTTGCTCCTTGTTTAAATCATCCTTGATTTTGCTAATACACTGATAATTATAATTCATCATATTCTATACTCATTTCTGCACTATTTCTTAACTCCAACAAATTAGTCATTAAAGTATTGGAACTGAATGGATAGAGCAAAAACTGTATCAGCAAAATTTAAGATATGAAATTAAAATCAATCAATCACATAGAAGAGCGGACTATTTGAAAGCTCTTTTATTTCTCCTATTTAGCGGTAAAATTAAAATAATTTAGTCTATACAGAAAATATAATTAACTGTTGAGATAGCTTAATTGTACTTGAATATATTTTTACGCTCAAATATTAGTTAATAAACTTTTACTGCTCTCAAGTTTTCTTTTCTTCTTTAAATTTCATATTTAATTTTCAAATAAGCATGTCAGAAAGAGTGCCAAAATTACTTCAAGCAATGAGCAATTAATCAACTGGCAACAGCCAGTCCTGATAAAATCAGTCATTTTATAATGCATTTCCCCATTCCTATTCAAGAAAGTGCTTTAATTCTTCGTTATTATTGTTAACTTTCAAATTTTCTCGTGACATTAGCAAGCTTCAGAGCCTCACGAAGATTATTTTCAAAATTGAAGAAGAAAAAGAAAAAAGTCAAATATGAATAAATCTTCTAAAATTATTTCGATTTCTACTCAATTCTAATCACAGTTCAAATCAAACTTCAAATAGTTCTCAATTTCCATTAAAAAAAGACGGTTAATAATCACAAATGTTTCATCAATGCAAAGTATCAATTAACCTGTCTCCCAGCTCAGCTTATTACACTTTTTTTCTTGATAACTGGATCAGTTATCATTACCGTTGTTGCATCCTTATGTCAGAATTAAACGGATGCAATGTATTGTTTGACCTTGAAGTTAGTTCTAATCCAATAAATGTTCCCTACATTCTCTTTCGCCCCTTTCGAAGTATGTTGAGGGGTGTGCAATGTGATATCAGTGGACTTGGGGTGGACTCGAAAGGATTACCCATCAATCGTCATCAACACCAACCATCCACAACTAACGCCATAAGTTCAATTAAGCTCCACTTATTCAGCAAAATGGGACAAAAAGCGATGAAAAAATGATTCCACGAAATATAATTTGAGTAGTATTTTCCACAAAAAATTTTGTCACCAAATATTTCAATAATGTTGGTAAAGTAGGTGGATGTTATTATCATCATCATACCTTAGACAATCCTAATAGCAGCGTTATCAAAATTTTTCGGACATAAACCTGAAAGGTTCCTGTGATACACAAAAAAGAGAACGTCGAAAATGACAATGAGAATAATGATCGAATCATGTCATCATTATCATTATTATCATTGCCAGTCAACAAATTTGATTTTTCTCTTTGAGTTTAACTATTTTGACCGACTTGTTCAAATTTGCGCAGTCATTTCAAGGAATGAATGATAAAAAACAATTTGAACTGAGCGCTCTGCATAATAAATACTTGGTGGAAAAACATTAAACCAATTTAAATTGCTTGAATTTCAATTAAAAATTGCAAATTTTGGTGAGAATGATGTTAACAGAAGCAGAAGCCAACTGAGATGACAAATGTAAATAAGTCACATTTCGTTAACAGTCTTGATTCAATTATCAAAATAAAAATGGCGATGATGAGGAGAATTATAGTGGTAATTTCAACTGTTATAAAGATCTCCGATGACGTAATGTATGATGCAGCGGTAATGACAACGATAATCCAGTGATAATCCATTTTAATTCAAGTAGATATCAAAGTTCATGCCATTTCCGCTTTGCTCCATTTGATATGATTTATCAATTTCAGTTTTAAGGCTTTATCACTTTATGATTATATTCAGTTCTCATTATCCTTCTTCCTCACTTTTGGTCCCATCTGGCCTGAATTCGTCGATCTGGGAAACATATGAAGAAATGGAAATGAAGCATAATAAGATAAAACTAAAGGGGTGGAATATTTTACTCTTTCAAAACCATTGGAAAGACCAAATGTCTAACTTATCGCGTCATTACGGCTTCTTTTACCAAGACTGTTAAACTCATTATCAGAGATAACAATGACCCATAATGATTTATTTTCAACAATAATTTAGGATAAACAATGCTTGAAATAGAACAAAGTCTGTCAGAAAATAGCAATTAGATTTAATTCAATTAAACTTAATTTACATAAGTTTAAAGGGAATACAAAGTATATTCATATAATTCATTATCTCTGAAGGATCCTGAACTCCCATCCATTCTTTTCTCATTAGTATAATCAACAAAATGCGAATAATTGAGCTTAAGTTTATTTATGTCTTGCATTACTACTACATCACTTCGTTCCCAATACATCTAAATATTTGTGAAAAATAAGAAGTAATTTTATTTAACTGGATGATAAAATGTTATGCTGCATAAATGACAAAGAGTACTAATGCAAAACGAGTGATTTGTAGAACTCAAAAATGGATTTAAAAAAAAAAGAATGGAGAAAAATAGAAAAAAGAGAATGCTCAAGTTGATTGTTTACTTGCAAATTATCGACTTAACTCATAATTAATTCCTTTTCTCATCGCCATTTCTTACCTCAATCTATCACCTATTCAACTTATTTACTTTATTTGTCTGCAATATATCCAATCCCTGTTGATAATTCCCTGACGTTTCAATGGATAAATGTCTTTTATGTACGGGAAATTATGCGACAGTTGGACGTTTCTAACTGCATGTGTGATATTTGCTACCTCTGCACGCAATACTCATTAAAGAGCCCGAGAAAAATGATTAGGTATCGCTTTCAATGATGGTCAGCTCGACACCTGTCCATCAATCGTTTCCGGCCTTCCATCATTGCACCGGCTAGCCGACAATAGCGAATTAACCCAGTCTTTTATTAAGGAATGTTGGGGACTCATTTCGATTTTAGTCAATGAAGTTTAGATAGTACCTAAACTTTGATCTCATGGAACTGTAAAAGCTCTGATCTATTACAGGATGAAATGGTCCTCCATTACAGTCATAAATTACACCATTATAGCACTTTTGCTCTATCATCTATCTATCAATCTGACATGTCTAAAATGCAGCAACAATTAAAGGTTGTTTACTGCTTCCACTATTACTGACCTCAGAAGTGGTCATTGACTAATAATGATTTAAATTGAAGTGACGCTTTTTTAAATATATTCCCCGAAATACCGTCCGTTTGGCTATTATTTAACTGTCCTTTGTTGGGTGTTTCATTCTTCCACAAACCATTATATTTCAAATTCTGTCTAACTGATCGCCACTTTTATTGTCATATGTCAGCGTTACTAACATGTTGGAAATGAAATTTTTAAGCTCTAAATTCGCACTCTCTTCAGAAATTCAACTTCAACTGGTAGCAATAACTTCAAAATGGATGCTTAAATTTAAAATTCAAAGTTCGGTTCATCCATCAGAAAAAAGTAATTTTCTTGTGCACCAATCCAATATATTTCAATGCGTGCATAAGCTCCCTTCTCTCTCTTGATTCTCGGCTTATTTTTCTGCCTCTTCTCGATTCTCAGGAGAGAATCCATTAAGTACTTCAGAGTAGGCATTTAAGCGGGAATGATTTATTTGTTGCAACCAATTGCTTCTGTAAAAGCATTCACTTAAGTGCTGCTAGTTGAGTGTCGAATGACAACAGCAAAATGTATGATGAAGAACGCATGTATGCACACATGTACACAGCATGCACACACGCATGCTTCTTGCAGTATTTTTGATAGCAAATTTAAACCAAGTTTGAATCAAACTATCTGAATAAAAACAAATTTTGTCAAGAAAGTTTACTGAGATGAGATGTCATTTCAAATTCAAATCTCTACTGAGATGTCATTTCATCTGCAAGCTTCCCATGAGAGTTACCGCTTAGTCTTTGTTGTTAAGTTAAAAGAAGCATTTAGATCTTTTCAATTAATGGATTCATTCTGCTACATTAACTGTCTACTGCAAGCACAAAACTTTATTTATCCTAGCTACTACCTTAACTTATTTCATCAATCTTTTTGCTGACAAATATCAACGATGCCGAACTATCCGCCAACCAAATGCATTAAACAGTGAGAACAAAAATTAATAATAATTGTGTCAGAAATTCAGCTTATATGTATGATATTTTGAAGGAAATAAGACTTTTCCTACAAATTTTCGTTTCTTTCTATTCAATTTATATTAAATTTTTTAAAGATTTGAAAATTTTGTCTGTTTAAGAAATTCAATTGACAAAATGTTGTCTTCATAGTATTTTATTCTAACTGCAGATTACTGTCCATCTTTAAAAAGCAAATCGCCATAGTAATTAGAAAGGGACGATAGTCTGAGCAACAGCTGTGTGATCAATACTAATGAATCAATCGGACACCTCCAACCGCGAACACCTGTTCTGATCTGTCCAGCAGGGATGTGGAAAAGATAACAAAACTTTTGTCTGCTTAACCTCTTCGCGACATTTAGGCACAGTCCAACAATACTGCGGAAATTAACTTGAAACCTATCTTTGAGCTAGCAAATCATAACAACAACAATAACAACAACAATGGAAAATCGTATATTTCAGATGACAATTTCCAAGAGCTGGCCATCAAAATTGCCCGACTAACATGTCAAAATGTCACGTCCCTCAATGCGACAGGGCATTGAGATCGGAATTAGTTGGAAGAAATGTTATTACAACATCTGGAAGTAATTTCCCAAAAATCATTTACTTCACATTTATAACTAAAGGAAATTCAATTTCGCAAAGTATTACATACCACTTTTCTGATTTTATGACAATTTTAATTTATAAAAGCTCAAAAAAAGGTGAAGGAACTTTGCATCTCTCTTTCAAAAAAAGGTAAGAAAAGTTTCAGTTTTCCTCGACAAAAATTCCGATCAATCGGTCACGAACGATCGTCGAAGTTTTGCGAAGAAACTTTTAGAACTAAAATCGCTCGCTTCCCAAGTACCATTTGACATGATCGAAATCATTTAGGAGGAAAAAACCAATTTGTTCTTTTCCCTTTCTCATTTTTAATAATTTATTCAATTCTCTCTTTATTATTTTTACTTCAGTTCTCTCTGTTTCATAATGAAGATTGGATTATTATTTCAGTGAAATGTTTTGCTTTTCAATAAAAGCTCACAACTCCAAGCTTAATCGTTTAACTTGTAGAAGCGTTTTATAATGTGAAAAAATTGTTGAGAAGAAAAATAATTATAAAGATGAAGGGATCTGATCGGACATTTTCCAAGGGTATCTTCCTCGGTAACTAATTAACTTGGCTAATTAACGCAGACTGGCTATTTATCCTATCAAGACTGCGAAAATCAAAGATTAAAATATTACTCATTTTTGGCTCATATGATAAAGAGGAGTAAAAGTCAGAAAATTTAGCGATTAAATGATATCAAAGCTTTGGAAGTAAATAAATTGCTATTGCAAAACCAGTGCTACATAAAGTGCAGCGGACTAAATGAAATAATGGTTGCAAAGGATCAGGTATTAGTTAAATGATGGCCAACCTTTGAACAAACCGCTAATCTGTACAGCTGCTTGATGGGACATTTCGAATTCATAATTCAGCGGCTTGATAAGCTCTATTAATCCATTACCATGTATTCTAAGATAATCCGTTGTTGCTGGTGCAAAGATCACCTTTTCGTTAGGATTAAGGCTTATTTTCTGAAAGTTTTGTTTTTGAATAAGTACTGAAAATAATTTCCGATTAATTATCTGGTAATGAACTAATGAAGCCTTCAATTTGAATTTCAAAAACTACAAAATTCATCAAACAACAGGCTATTTTATCAATTATAGGAAATTTTTAAATGAATAATAAATCGTACAGATATCAGTTAATTCAGTTATATTATTACGACTAAAATTATAACATGGATGATTCCAAATGTAGCTGAACAACAAAAATTTGCATTTTGCAGTAGAAGTTATTGCCAACATATGATATTAAAACTGAATTTACCATCATGTCAAAGTTTTAAAGTTTGAATAAAAAGTTGACCTCTTCCAGTAACCCAGTTGGATGATTCTCTTTCAGTGTTAGCACAATTTCATTGCCAAAATCTCTTCTACTCCGTCGATAGCGCGATTTTTTAATTTTGGGCCTTTTGAATTGCTGTTTCGGATCGATCCGTGGACCAACCAAAATCCGAACATTAGCACGAGCTTCCTTCAAGCCATATTGTCTCTTCATTTAAATATTATTCACTCTATCAACTTCTTTATCATTCCAAGGACTTAGTGGAGTGTAAATTCAAATTTAATAAATCAATCCGAAATTTCAGAACTACAAGAACTTATTAAATATTAACAAATTTGAACTGGCAGCAATCCTCGACTATGAACCAATGAATTAAAGATCAAATATGTACTTTTCTTCAAATAGAAATTTAACTTGGAAATTTCGTAGTAAGGAGCCAAAATGCTTTATCTTGCACCATGCCTTTCTTACTGACCTGTGCAAATGAATTGGCAGCAACAATATTAAAGAAATATTTGCCATTTGGTATATCGTAACGACTAAATACATCACCGGAAAAGGGTGTAACATCGAACGGAACATTCTCCGGCTCAATTCGATATACAACAGCTCCTTTCGAATTCCTAAAAAATTATTTTTTTTTTGATTTGACCTGCGCTACCTTGATTCTACCTACCGTAAGCTCTTTCTAACCCAACTTGCTTATCCAATGGGTCGATGATGGATTAATTTATTTTCTCAGCAACAACTGTTCTTAATATCACTTTCCCTAATGTCTCCATCAATAGATTATTAACTTTGCTAATTTGATATCTAAACAATTTCCCGTGAATTGAAGAGTCAAAACATCTCTTCACACTTCTGACATGAAAATGGTGCAGAATGGGTCACCTCTCCAACTATCTCTGATTCTGACTATCGGTTGTCCATTACTCACAAGGTTTTTTTTGTTAACAAAAGAATCAATAATCCTAAATGGATGACGAATCTTTGATGAGTAAGGGTGAGAAAATGATTTCTGATCATTTCCGACCAGATACTTACACTAACTTCCTTATGCGTGTTAATTTTTTTGGATGGCAAGGAGATCGTAAAAATTTTGTAAAAGCTAACGAAATCGGAACTTAGCTTGGAGGTTTGTTTGAAATTTCCTTTGGACTGTACATCGATACTTAATTTATAGGTACTTTTTGAAAAATATATTGCACGAACGATAAGCTTACTGCGAATCATTGAAGCAGAATTGAATTACACAATTTTATCAGAGAACAAGCACATCAGCACACACAACGCCCCCTAACGCACATACCGCATGCACTGCACGCATCTCACACCACCGCTTATATCGCATATCATCATCTTAAGCAACTCACGCAATAAACAGTACGGGAAATATTGACCAACCCCTTGTTTTCCAGCTAATTGCTCAGCCAATACTTGGTTTTTTTGGACTTTTAGCAAGACCGTACTTTAGGCACCTAAGTTTTTCATCAATTCCAGGATTTAAAAGGGAAATGATCACCTTACAAGTAATTTGTTTTAACCCTTTATTTTCTGATCATATAATTATTGGCCTTGTGCGCTCCACTTTATGGAATATGGAAGGGATTTATCTGCCATAGGAAGGGAAGAGAAGAAGAAATATGTAGACCTTTAATGATTTCAGGATAACTTCAGAAAGAGAAAGTTAGTAAGAGATTAAGCTGTGTTTTATTAAAACTTGAGAACTCGGTTATCAAATTCAAAAGACTTCAAAACTCGGAATATTGCTAGTTAATGATAAAAGCTGGAAATCAAATTAAAGTGTCTCGAAACTAATTTTCAAAATGCTTCGACAAATTTTTATTCGAAACCAAGAAATCAGTTAATTTTCTTTTCCGTTTCGAAAGAGTATACTAATGATAACAATAAACCTATGCTTACTTTTCAAATTGATTATAAAAAAAATTATAAAAACTTACTTGGCTGTAACTCTTAGCACTGTCACATGAGGTCGTAGTTCGTCTACTTGTCTAAAATAATGCACATTGTTGAATTTGGGCGCACTCACAGGCAGCTGTTCGAAACTTACATCAATTCGCGCAATCGCCAAACGAATCAAATTATTCTTATCTAATGCGCCGATATAAAACGATTGAAAAGCACCATCTGCTGGCCTTAATCGACGTGAAATGTACAACTGAAAATATAGACGAAATCACTGGAAGCAAGAAAATGTTTTTGGCTTCCGTCAGAAAAAGATGAAATTTTATAATCCATGTTTCCCGTGTTTTTTGGTATTTCAAAATCTTTAAGCTCAACGTAAATTATTAAAATGCATCCAAGTTTGTCATTTAGAATGACTTAAAACAATGTTAACTAAATTTAAACCTTTGCACAATGAATATTTCGCTTCTTGTTGTGAGTGAGTATAAAAGGTAAATTTGTTGAATTTGAAATAATTGATATTTGCAGATCTGTTGAATTTGATACATTTACCATTGTTATCTCTGTTTCGAATGGAACTACCGCCCCAGGTGCGATATCATTCCGTAACGTAACATTGTATATATCAGCGGAAAAAGATGGATTTGAACTGAAAGCGCAATTTTATCTTGAAGAAATTACGCTTTTGCTAAAAATTTTGAAGAAGAGGAAACCTTCTACGATGAGAAAAAAAAAGGTCGTAACAATATTTTTCAATACATCACTAAATTTAAAATATTTAGAAATTTGATGAATCCTTCGAAGATTTACTTTCTTGCAATATTCACATTGACGATAAACATTTGTTGTGACGTTGTTGTTTCTACAGTAATAGCTATTGATTGACCTTCCATCTGCCTTATGGAGTTTTTTGTGCATAGCCTTGAAATTTGATCAAATAACTGGATTATTGGAATAGAACAAATGTTCTACAAAAAAATTTGAAATAATTAAAATTTCGCTTTGTATGCGCTATAAGTAAATGGCAAACCTATTATCAATGATTTGAAAATAATGCGCTTGATTTGAGGTATGTAAAAAGCAACAATCATGCCATGTACAATATCCATCTTCAACGAGGTCCGAGATGAGCCATCCCAATGGTGCATTCGATCGAATGGTGAAGATTTTTGGCTACAAAGAAAGTCATAGCAATCAGATTACAGTTAAACAGAATTAACAGTACTACTTCTAATAAAACAAACGGGAATAAAAGAGGAGAGAAAAGGAAAAATGCATTGCGATATTGTTGCGATATCGTAAATACATCGCGTGTCATCCATCACTTAATTTTTTTCAGGAGCCTGTGTATTTATGTATTCATAATGGAACTGTTGTGAAATTACTAGCGGCGGAGAAACAGGGTAGAATAATTCTAGATAGGACGATAGTGACAAACGAACTGTCTCCTCATTTGCATATGAGGCAGTTACAATTGATTATGTTTTCTATAAGGATTCAGCAGCAAAAATTTTCTTCAATCTTACCGCATCTAACTAGACGATGTCTAGGGGCACTTTCTACCAATTTCGCTTTACATTGTCAAATGAAATCTTTTTCCCTTGATTAATACTGTCATGATGACTAATACGAGAAATACTAGTTATCATGATCCTAATACTAGTTATCATGATCTTTTTTTTTTGTTTCGATTTCACATAATTTTATTGACCCCATTAAATGTCACTCTATTTCTTCCTCTTAAATTAGGTGGTACTTTTGGTTCTCTTCCTGTTCATTTGTTCCTTACCTCAATTAGATAAACTTGTTGCCCTCTCCTGTTTGTCTTGATTGATTGCATCAACTACACACAGCGGGTGTATATTTAGGCCTTTCGTAAGATGCCTTCTAACCCTTTTCCCACCTCAATAACATCTCATAATTTCATTTACATGGTTGATGAGAGTCTCATAGATCAAATGCTCATTGTCACACACTGAATATTATTTTATCACTTTATCATATGCCACAAATATTTTCTTAAAATTTTTGTCTAGAAAGGCAAACAAATATTTGCTATTCATCTACCATTATTGCATTAATTTAATTTCTACTTGAAGGTTTTTCAAGCATTTCATTGTTTCAAAATGGCGTTGAAATGAAATTTAAGTTTTTTTTTATTTTTTTATTTTTGAAATTTTAATTTAAATTTACGATCTACGAGACAGTCTTTTTCTTTAAAATTTAGTTATGCCTTTCATGTCAGGTAATTATTAATTGTCCATTAAGCATCAAACAGAAATTTCATTCCAAACTACGAAAACGAGTAACTCTACTAGTTTCTCTAAATGAATTTCAAATTCCTAAAATCAATCAAGCGCAATTTTATTGTATGTTGAAAGAAATCTAAATGGATTTCCAAATGACCAATCTACACAATGACCAGAGTAGATAACACTTTCGTACTGCAATTGTTATGCTGGTGAAGGGACAGCAGGACAATTCAGTTCAGATTTAGAGGAATTGATGAAAATTAGAAGTAAAGATCAACATTACGATAGTTGAATATAACCTGTAGAAATGAAGAAAACGATGGAAATAGAGGAAAATCGGGACAAGCATACTTACTAATATTTCGTATTGGAATATCCCTAGAATTTTGTTGAGATTATGATGACTCTCTCTCTCTCTCTGTCGTGAGAAATTTATAGGGAACTAATGGTTTTTACAAATTCAATTTTGAATTTAACTTTTTGAAATTTGAATATCTTTTATGAGACCAGAAGTTTGTCTTGTTGGAGCTTTAGTGGTGTGAATTTTTTGCTTACTACCTTATTTATCCTTCAGTCCATGTCTATGCTATTCATGACACCTTCTCTCCAACAATACGCATTCTTACGCAATCCAAAAATGTCTTGCTTTTATGTTAATTAGATTAAACTACTCTTCTGCCTCCCACCCTTTTATACGGTAATTTGCAGTAAATTATTATTCCTTCAACCTCACCTTTAAAAGATTACAGGTAAATAGGCATATGGGTGCGGAGAAGAAGTAAAAGATTGGGTTGGCACATATTATACATATAATTAACGTTTTCCTTTCATGATAAGAGCAGGAAGAAGAAGAGGATAATCTTAAAAGCGACACCGACACCTTAGTCAGGTTATCGGTCAAAATATTTGACAGTAGAAGTAGAATCGATAACAAATAAACATTCATCATACGTTTTCCCATACCTTCAGAAAATTACACCTTGATAGAAAAAGGAACAGAGAAAGGATAATTTCAGAATGGTAGGTATCTTCATTGCTTAATTAAGTACCATTATTTTAACATTACAAACATATCAGTTAAAATTCAAGATATGAAGGAGCATACTACTTAATTTACAGACAACATCATACTTCATAAGTTTATCTCATGTTAGGTTGATGTTATTTAAAAAATCTCATGCTAGAAATTATTCGGTGTTGCTTCTGTCTCTCAATTAAAGTTTATTTTGAAATTTCAAAATAATTTTACTGCCAATTTTCTCTTCAAAATGACTTTCTGAATTGCCAATTCGGATCTACAACTTTTCAAAAAAATGAAATGGGTATTTGTGATGGATAAGCTAATTACTATGAAGTGACTTCAAAATGCTGGTTGCTTATAGTTTTTTGAGCTTAATAACTATAACTGGGATTTGATCTATCGATAAGTCATACTGATAGCAAAATATGTGTTTGTTATTTTTTCAGTTGTGTTTTTTAAATCCACAAGAAATGAATATAATTTCAGAAAATATCTTTAAAACAATTTGTACAACAACTAACTCTCCTGATCACTATTAAGTTTCATCAAACCTTCTTGTTATATGCAAGGATAACATGATTTATTATTAAATGATAATACAACAGTACTATGTGAAGAGTAATTAGCATTAAATCCTTTCCAAAGATAACGTTATCTCCTGAAAATTCAATTTAAAGGATTGTAGAAATTTTACCTTATTTTGATGAGATCCGATATATGGTAGTAGATAAATGATATTTAGAAGAAATAGAAGCCAGAAATGAAACATTTTTGGAATTGACATTCTGTTTTAAGCGGAATAAAAATAGATACGATTAAAGTGTGATATTCGTGATATGAAATGGATCACGATTAATGATAGCTGCAGGTCGATAGTGATATCATTGACAGTAGAGATAGCAAATTTTGGCAATACAGATGATCGTAAACATAATTAGAAAAAGTGAAATAAATAGAAAAAGTAATAGCACTGAATTTAAAACAGAGCAACACGTCAAAGCATCATATGATCCATAATCGAAGTAAAATAACTCCACTTCAAGGAACGACGAATCCTGAAATTGCTTTTTTCCAATTATATGAGATTACCATTCTTCTCCTTAAGGAATAACTAATAATAAATCAGGAACGCGGAACACATCACTTTTAGGGAAATGTAGTATTCAGTGGACTAAACTATGCAATTTGTATTGAGAGGAAGAGATTTGGTATATTGCCAGTTGCTTTTAAAATCCTCATGAAGAGATCCGAAAAGCAGTAGCTATCACAAAAAACTGAATCGGATTCTTTCTGTAACGATTAATAAGTTTCGACCTGAATAATAAATAAATGGAGCAAAGTTTCAGGCCAAAAAGTAGTGATTTTGGAGAGGAAATCGGAAGCAAGTTTATGAGTTGTTATGTCAAGTTTATGGATTCCACGGTAGAACAGATTACAGTAAACGGAGCAAGTACCGTATATATACAAAAGAAAAAGAAACAAATAGCAAATGAGCAAAATAATATGCCAGAAATTCAACATGAAATTAATTCGCAAACATGAAATTAACTACATAAATAATTATTACTAAGAGCTCCAGAAAAGATAAGATCCAAGACAAGCGGTTTCATGTCGTGTTGTGCTTCAATGTGACATGCCGAAATTTCTTCATATGCATGAAGGTTGCTAGGGAGGATAATTCCGGAGAGAAGGTATTCCCGCGTCAAAGAAAAAAGGCTCTGTGACGAAACGAAATTTGGGAGATGTAAATAAACCGAAAGACTTAAGGCTTAAAAATGAAATGGAAATTTTGCGATGCAATCGATAGCATAAAAAAATAATAAGCTAATAATGTCAAGGTAAAGACAAAAAGCAAATCTCAAAGGCTTTTCAACCAATCAGTGCTGTTATAAATTTCGGAAAAAAATTGACAAAGTCACTTATCACGAGATGATCCACGACAAGTTTGAAATTAATCTATTTATAGGTACATCTAGCCAACAACATCATCAACTGCCTTGAAATAAATGAATGAAGTGAATGCCTATTTGGTCAGTAGAGGTGGGAGGAAGGGAGGAGCCATTGGATGACAATGGTCCTCCCAAACTAACGAATGAAATGGACTCGACTTCTCTGTCCCACCATTTTCTCCCTTCTTGGACATTATTCCGTCAACCACTATTCATACTCCAAAATTTACCTCCGTGATATCTCGGACTATACATCTCATTCTTTTGCGGAAGCTTTAAAAGGTAGAATTACTCGCTGACCTTTCAACCTTCCAGCAATGATCGCTTCTAAAAGCAAAGAATATATTCTTACGATGAGCAATAATACTTTTTTGATAAAATAAGCTACAATCTAATTTAAGTAGCATCAAATGAAACACTCATACCTCTGTTGAGAAGGTTAAACAACAAATCTTTATGTAATAGTTTCAAAATCAGCCTTGTCGTCATCTTAACTAAACTAATTTTATTAAATAGTACACCAAAAGATTTCTAACTTACAGACCAGCCTCGAAAAACGATTTTGGAAGCCTCATAATTTGATGACTCTTCCTTCTTTTGAATTTCCACTTAATCAATTCCAAAATCTACCAGAAACCAAAAAATCTGCTGGTTTATTGCTATGGCCAACTCTTTTATCCATTCATAAGGATGGCTGTTAGAAAAAAATCCTCCTAACAATATTAAAATAAAAAATTAAAATTATTTGAAAATTACGAGCTAATAGTTAATAGTTATGCACAAAAGTTTTGATTGAGAAAGCAACTTTTATTTCGGAAAATAATATTCCAATTCATCACCTTACCATCACCATTACCCTTAACTCACTTCTTCTGATAATTGCTATCTTATCTGATCAATAAATTTGCATTTAGTAATCACTGAACTTTCCCATCATTATTTTTTAAATCCAGGATCTTTGAAATCTCTATCATCTACTGTATTCAGGCAGAACATTGATTTCGGTTAAAAGACTACGTGAAAAGAGAAAAAGCTAAATAAAGAATAAATAGAAGGAAAAGAACTAACTCATGTAGAAACAAGGCTGCATTAGACAGTGTTTTCAAAAATTTAAGAAACTGTAAAGGAGGGGCTGAGATTTTACTCGAAGTAAAGTATTCTGAAAAATAGAATTGACTACAATACCATCACTATCAGCATAAAGTTTCAATTTCTGAAAGTTTCAACTGGGAATTTTTTTGAGTAATATCAAAACCCAAACATTCAAACATTAAAATTGTTGCGATTGAGATAGGCCAATGTCCAATATATATTCGAGTAAATTACTTCTTGTGCTTATTTCCTATATATATATAATAATATATCCACTTGAATATGGAAAGTAAAAGATTTAAATTTGACTGATTACGAAAAGACATCGGAACTAGAGATTAAAATTTTGGTATGAAAATGGAAATTAGCAGTGAACATAATAAACTGAAGCATATGACATGTTCATATGAATGAACGACTCAAGGAGGACATTTCAGTTCATGAACTAGGATTACCAGTTATGAAAAGCATAGTTCATTCTGTTTAGTCAACTACAGTATTTGGAAATCTTTTTGCTTGTTATATTCTATTCAACTTTTTAAACCAATGAATGCATAGTTTATAGTATTAAATAATTGTCTTTTGTTCAAATTTTTTGATGAAAATGAACTTAAAAGGAGACGTTTAAAGGAGTAAAAGATGCAAAAGGCCGATAAATACAAGATACCGGATTAGAACTGACAGCAATCTGGAAGTTAGTTTTGGTATGGAAATTTAGAAATGAGCTGCAACCTCTCGAATTGTCCATTACTATTTCAGATACTTGTTTAGAGTGGTATAAACTACATCTTTTCTTTATCACCTTTTTGGAACTTCTTTCACATTGTTATCCGTAAACGAAGTATTCTTAGATCCAGTCCGTGTAGGTTTTTTATATGGAGTACTAAACTTCATCCTTGATTCTAGAAATTAAGTATTTCCAGTTCTGGTCCAAAAAAGGAAAACTTGTAATAAAACTCGATACATTAATTACTCGATATGCATATATTTGCCAGATAGTAGCACCAAAAAGTTTCTCTTTGCTTGCAAGTCCACCGTATTGAACACTGTTATGTCATTGGAGAGCTCCATATTATTTGTCATTCATTTATCATTAAATATCAAAAGAGGAGGCATTCACTTTCAATTTCTACTTTTTTTGAGGATTGAGGAAAGTAATTCCTTTACTTTATGATATTATTTTAATAATTTCCCTAGTCATGCATTTAATTTTTTTTTCAACTGAGAGAATTAGGTAGTTATTTGGTACCATTTGTATGACTCTTATTTCTCCTGAATACTTATAAAGACTTTTATATAAAACCGAACGAAAATTCGACCAAAATATGAGGTCAGGACAAATAATATGGTGGTTTTGTAAAGGAAAACATGCTGATAACTACTTTGGATTAAAATCAAATATGACATCATAACTGTAGAGATGAACTTCCTGACGTTAGAAAATGCTCTGTTTTGAAAGGAATTCAACTTCTCCAATTCGTTCTAAGAAAAGAACTTCAAAGAGTAGCAAAACAGCAATGACTAATTTAAATTTCGGGTTTCGTCACGAAAATTTCAATACTACAATACATTGAATACGAAACATGGATTCTTTCGTTGAATTAGACGTCTGTGAATTGAACGTGATCCGAGAAAGACCTTCGAAAAATGCTTGTGAAATCAGCTGTTTAATCTTAGTAACAGATTCGTTTTTTCTAAAAAAAAATTATATTGTGAAAAAATGAGCGAAAATTGAGAAAGTATATACTTAAACTTGCGGTTAAATGATCAAAAGTAATTGAATTGAGATTTACAAGTTCTATTTTTAGTTGTAACTATTTTACTGTCATTGTAGAAGCAAAAAAAGCAATGTGACAACAAAGTACGATGTGACAACAAAGTACGCATTATAAATTTTTTTATTCAGCGATAATTAATTAATGCTATTGGTATTTTATCATAAATCGTTTGCCGAATTAGCGACCCGAACTGGACCGATCATTTTTCATTCCTAATTTCTTTGACAAGAATGACTTCAAAAAAGAAAAGATCAATTATGACTACAGGTGCAAATAAAAGTATTTAGAAAGAAAGTTTTGTCGTTTCTTTCGTTTCTTTCTTTTTTTCTTTCGTTTCCAAGTCGCTTTTTTTGAAAAAATTGGTGTAGAAGATGAAAAAGACTGCTATAAAATGTTTGAGAGATAGGAAAATATCATGCGCTTGAGAAAATTGAAAGTATTTCCTCTCTCTTTGTCTCTCTCTCTCTCTCTCTCTCTTTCTGCCTTTCTCCATTTCATTTCTAGTAAACTTAAATAAGAAATTTCATGCAGTTTATAAATTTTTAAAAGCCATTAAAGAAGCATAGACTGATTGTCGTATTTGATCATTCCGAAGGTACATATTAAGTACCAGTAAAAAAAGAAAAGAATTTAAGCAAACAGCAATATATGTCCAGTTACCAGGACAAAGTAAGAGAAAGTAAGAAGTAAGAAGGAGCAGCTAAGTGAAATGTAACCAGACGAGAAATGATGGATTAAAAAAATATTGCGAAGAATGGGGAGATATTTAAACGAAAGTAATAGACTTAAAAACTGAAGGTTCAAAAAGGTGGGCAGACGGTCGATGAAGAAAAGGGCTTGTTTATATGGGCTCATTCAGAATATATATTAGTTGGGTTTATGGAGCCAGCAGAAAAATGAATAAATAAAAAGCAATGGCAAAGATTAATAATAGGCAGTCAAAAATAATAGTAGCGGACACGAGAATGCACGAAAGATTGGCTGGCCGCAATTGATGTATCTTCTGGTACCACCTGGGATGGCAAATTCTGAGAATGGAAACGAAGAGATATCAAAAAGGGAAAATGACTGGCATACATATGGAATCGGTGGAAAAGTCTTGTCATTCGAACACTGTTCAAGATTAGAATTTTTTAAAAATAAAAATATTTCATTTGTAGCATTTTAAAATCTGCCATGTCCTCTTTAAGTAATTTCATTTGTCTTTCATTTCATTTGTCATTTGTTCATTTGTCTAATTTCATTTGCCTCACGTGTCGGCGAAGCGAAAAAATGTCGAGTTGTTTTAAGTAGAATTCAGAATATTTTTCAAGTAAATGATTCGTTACAAAGATTAATATATTTCGATAAGTAAAGTAACGAAGCATTTATCCAAATCCAATTCTTCCAATTTTTCAACCAATTTTAATTACAGATAAAGTTTTTCGTTGTAAACTTTTTCCAATCTGTCAATTAAGCTTACATGCAATTGTCACAGTGTTGTAAAGAATTTATGTGCAAATCTCAGAATTTTGTAAAGAACCTCTAGTCTGGTAATTAAACTAACGTTTCTGGAATGCTAAACTAATCCAACTATAAAATGAATTAGGACCAATCATTCAGACGAACAATTTACAAAATCCAAAAAGCTCGAGCAGTCACTCAATTTGACAGCAACGTTTAACGGCAGAGAAGCGACAATACGACAGTTTAACGGTACAGCGACAAGACCTTTGGTATTCTTTAATACTTACTATGTATTGTTTATTTCGTCCTTATTACTGTTTCAGTTCGATATTGTATCATATCGTATAATACCAATAAAGGTTATTATCAATGTTGCGAAGTTAAAACGACAAAAATAAACCTACAAAACATTTTCCCGATATCAGGTTATCTTAGGGCAAACTATCAAATGTCATTATTGAAGACGATATTTTGAAGTCAGATGGATTCTGAAAATCTAATGATTTCCGTTTTTGCATTTCTCTTTTCTTCTTTCATAATTATCATAATTGCGCAATATAATTGCATAAAGATGAACCCGTTAACAGAAGTATAACGAATTTATTCATGTTCACACATGCCCACTCTTCTTTCTTATCCTGTGTTTCCCTAACAAGTTAGTTCCGATCTTTTCCTTTCTACCGCCTTAACAACATGAAACAATTAGACTTTAAATCCTCCACTTACTTTCTTCAGCTTATTAAAAAAACATTAGTTCATTAAGCGGAAAAAATTGCAGTGTGTCAAGCATACAGTTTTCTATCTCATAATTCATGATGTAATGCGGAAAATTCAACATCAGGAGACTATTTCGTAGATAAACACACGGCCGCATTTGCACACTTCTCTCACTTCTGTAAAGTTAACCGCCGATGAAAGAAAATTGGGAATCTTTGTAATTCTGGATAAGGATATTTTGAACATTACATTTAAAAGATACTGTATATGCAATCTGTAAGTTCCATTCAACTTCCAAATTTTGAAATTCAAAAACTGATCCAGACTTTTGACGGGCTTTAAATACAAAATGATAGTGAATTATTTGTGAAAATCCCAATGATATTTTACAAAAAATAACGGCGCAACATGTCAACCCAACACCGAGGTATACTTATAAAACACTGTACGAAGCGTTAATAAGACCCACCAAAAAAACAGTACAAAAGAAATGTCACGGAATAATAGCAAGCCTGACAAAAGAAAAGTAATAATCGAGCAATGGTGGGTTAGGCATAAATTAGCACAAACTGATGAAGGGAAATTATCTCAAATATTTGTAAAAATCGATTCGTGCACTGATTACTATCCTGGTATCCGGTCTACATCGATTCAAATGTTAGATCCGACAACGTTTTATAAAATTTTATATTTGACAAAAATCGACCAATCCTATCACTTGATTAATCTAGTCCTCACTAGAGTTCTCGCTAACACAAATGTCTTTAACGTTTTAACAACGCAGGAATCTAACATAAAAGGCGCAAAGTCCACCACCATTTTATAGAATTTCAAGAAAACTTTGTTCTTAAAAAACAACTCCTTCATTTTTTCCAAGATAAAAAATACGCATTTGGTGATGATAAAAAATAAGTGAAAACAATAAATGAATGCTAATAACAAACCAGTTAAAATGATTGATTGGAAGTATATTTCCAAAGAATAAAAACAAAAAAAAAACCGAAACTTAAAATGTAAAAATTAAAGACACATCAAGAAATGTGAAAGATATGTAGTTGAGCTAAATAAAGAGTAAACAAAAATCCACATTAATAAACAAGAAGTCAAAAAATATATAAACAAAAGTTCTTCCTCCGGATGAAGACTTAGTATCCGTAACTCTTGTTCATTCCTTATCTTTCTCAAATTCTCTATATTTCGTTACTGGCATTCAAATTGTCCATCGCATTACGATAATCTACAGCTGAAATGCCATATAAATAATAATAAAACGACTTACAATTTTAATTTTAATATCGTAGGAATAAAAAAATGGGAAGGATCTGCAAGGTTAAAGAGACAGCAACATGTAAAACAACACCAAATAAAATACTTTCATAGGAATTGAATTCGTAAGATAACCATAAAAGTTTTACAGAACTGAAAATTTATATTTAAGCATATTTGGGATATAACTATTATTGTGAAAATCCACAAACTTTTAAGATAAACTGATTCCCAGCAGTGGTATTCATCAAGAATTTCTTTTCCAGCAATAAGTACCATCCGAATAGACCTCCTTAAATTGAAGAAAAATATAATTTAAAAGTATATTGTTTATCTTTCCAAAATAAAAAATTCGAATAATTGGGTAATTGGAAAATTGGAATAATATAATTGCCAAGAATCCAATAAAACATTGACGCACTTGTTAAAGGTTGGTCTACGTTGATTTTCCTTTTCAAATTTTAAAATAAATCAGCCCAAGAACCAAAACTGCTATCATCGACACGGTAATAACAAATTCCATGGCGAGCGTCATTGCTTATTTCAATGAACAGAATTCCCCCACCTTTTTCCAAATAGGAACTCGACTTTTCAAATAATCGATTCCTCTTTCGGTTGCTTGAAATGCATCTTGTCTATGAGGTGCACTTACTGCCATTATTACCGATGCTTTCCCAACAAATACATTTCTGAAACGGACATATTAAATGTCAAAAAAAGTAGCCGCAGAGAGAAAAGCGGGAAAACAGAAAAAACATCTACTAAAATGAACATAACTATCCAGTATATTTTCACAGTATTGGGTTTCATCAACCATCAGTTATTTATAAAAAACAAAATCTACAACTGATTTTAATAATCTATTACTGATTTCACAGTAATTTTTTGATCGATTATATTCAATCCTAGCTTAAAAACTACCACTAGAGACTATTTACAAATTCTTCATAATCCAGCAAACATATATAGCTCATAATTTCCCTGCTGCTATTAATTTTAACAAGCTAACAGATTGCTACTATCATTCTTTAGCTACAACATTATCAGAGATACCATCTTATCTCGACGTTGGACGTAAGACTTACCCCACTTTATGAAAAAGTGCGATCTTGTCAACTGCAGGGTAGCTTTTTCGTAACTCACTACACAATCTGTCTAACTCTTTATAAACCATTTCATCATATGCCTCAAATTCTAACCGGACAACCTTTTTATCACCAAAGCTATCCCTTGTTGTACCTGCAAAAGAAAAAAAACTATAACAACGAACTTTAAACTAATTTTAAATTGTGAAAAGTAATGAAGCGACAAATTGGTGATAAAATGTCTGCAATCTTCATAAGACCGAATCTTTCCAAATACCGTTAATGCCACAACAAAGTCTTCTCACTATGGATCACATCACAAATGCTGCAAGACACTAACCCAAAAATATACATGTACCTCCACTTTCTGGTTTATTAACGAATTCAGCTGCATACGATAACTGGAGTTCATCGGTTTGAATCAACAATAAGTTTTTGGATAGTTTTGATAGCAACTAAAACAAAGGGGATCCCTATGACACCTCAATCTCTTGTTAAATTTAGGCCCCTTTACTTTTCAAATTTAGACCCAAAACCTTTGACTTCAATCTCAAATGTCCTCCTCAAAAAAGAAGTCAAAATTTCTTTCAAACTAAAAAAAGAAATTATATAAAGTCTTGAAAGTGGTAATGCAACGGCAGTAAAGAAAAGGCGGAATTTACCGTTTCCACTTCAAATTCACTGGAAAATTCTTGAGTATTTCCGTCAACAAAAACAATGGCTGACGAACTACGGGCAAGATTGTAAGCATTAGCTAAATGATTCCTGTATGTGGGCCAAACAATTTCTTCCATGTACCTTAAATTCGATAAATTAAATAAATATTTTTTCAACAACTCAATAACACTCATTTCGTTTGCTCGAATTTTTCTTCACATATTCCAAAAGGCCTCTGGTTACTGTTTTCACCCGAAGCCGATCTTCTAACTTTAGCTTATGATGAACTTATGATAAATTAACTCCAGCTTATGATGATGGAGGAAAACTGATAGTATAATCATCAGGATTAACTCTGCTAATCAGTGCAGGAGTAAATGAATTTTGGTTTTCAGTTCAGGAAGAGTTGAGAGCATAGTCATGTCTCTTAAACTGACTCAAAATATTCCCACCGAACCATAGTTTATCTCTCAAGTAGGCCGTTGGTAGTTATGAGTCAATAATGAAGAGTTAAGAAGCAATCTTTTCTAGCGAACGAAGAGAGATCGGCCTATTTAAAAAACCGAAACTTGATTATTATGTAATTTTTTCGGATGAAAACGCACTCTGCTTTAAAAAATTTTGAAAATCCAAGCCATTCTTGAAGAATGAAATTTATAAAAACATGACTATAAAGGATTTCAATCCCAAAGATGAGTAAAAAATACCCAGGTAAGTCCACAGGGTTATATCCACGAGCTGTACGCCTTCGTTTGCACAAATTATAATTTAATGTAATAAAAATAGATCGATGTAATAGTTGGCGCAAACTGTCGATTTCCATTACCATATTCCCTTCAACAATTACAAAATCGTTCTCAACAATCGCTTTTTGTAAACTCAACAGGAATTTATTCGTGTCCAACTGAAAAAAATTTCGAATGAAACATAAGAATTAAGCTTCAAGCAATTCCTAAGATAAAAAATTGAAGCAAAAATACTCCTTATTTTCCATTAAACCCTGCAAAAAAAAAATCAGATCTTTAAAGTTCACCTAACAATCATCTTACGAAACGTAACATTCGACATTATCGGCTAAAGTTACGATCCTTAAAACTTATAATTTCAAATGCAAATTTCAGCATTAACGTGAAACTAATTCATTTCAAAAATAACTACATTATGGCGGCATTTTTGGAGTTATTGGAAATTTTTCGGAGAATTTTATATGAAAATTAAAATATCAAGCAAGTTTTACTTAATGTAGAAATTATTCTAAAGTTTCATCCAGTAATTCATATGCAGAATACAAAAATAAATTGACCAAATCAAACTTAAATATACCGCTTTTATCGTGTCATAATTATAAAATGTGATTTTCGGATTTGCACAGCTTACAACACGCTCTAGTTGTTCTTGCGGATAATAGAATGCATCCTGAGAAAGCACAGTTGCTCGCATACCTTCGTTGATCAGCTTTAAAATAACTTATTAGAACTTTATTACAGAGAATCACAAAAAAAGTATACAGTAAAAGAGCTGTGTTCAATTTTTAAATTTAGTACAGGCTAAAATCATAAGCATCGGGTTGCTATTTGAAGATTATAGAAGTCAGCTGGAAGAGTAGTAACAAATTATCCTACGACAAAAAAAAGAGTCTGTTGATTCCTTTTCCTTGTCTTGTGAAACTATAACCTTAACTATCGTCTATCTCACACGTTTCTAAAAAAGAGAGCCTAAGAGTGAATGAGCGCAGAGCAGAATTCTAAATAGACAACAGCTTCTGCCCTCAAAACACAACTAGAAAGAACGTATCACGAATCTTACGGCAGTGGACAGTATTTTCGAAAGCGTTGTTTTACCACTGTTTGAACAGCCAGCGATACCCAAGACGTAAGCACCATTATCTGTCGGTTCCTTATGCATTTCACATCGTCTTGACCAACTTATAAAATCTTTCATGATTTGCACAACTGAAAAGAGTCGAGGCAAAAAACCAAATTTACTCGGAACCAAATTTACTAATTGAATTCAGTAGAATAAAAAAAAAAAGTAATTCTGTCAGTCTGTCAGTTATATGGACAAATATGCACTTAACTGCTAAGATAGCTAACATACAAGGCAGTACAGCTACATTATAAGAATTCTTATAAAGAAGCCATTTCAAATATGCGCCACAACGCACAAGGCGTTTATTATATCTTAAAGAAAAGGCTTACTTGACTTGGCAGTTAAAGCTGACTGAGCCATGAGTTAATTAATAAGAGCAATGATGTTAATACCCATCCGACCTTCTAAATAAAAGAAATCATGAAGAGGTCTTATCATTGTCACAACATGGATTCGATGCATTACAATTTACTGTTTAATTATGAAAATAAACGATGAAACCAAAAAACTTTAAAATTTGATAAGAAAAAAAGATGTGGCAGTATTTTAGCAATTCCATTATCAATCCAAAGTAAGTTCCACAGAAAAGAAAATTAAGTTTTATCCCAAAAAAGAATTTGTAAATCAAAACAAAACGATTGTAAGAGAAGGAAGTTCAATCTCGAGTGCGAGCAGTGAAGAAAAACGTAGTAAGATCCAATCAACTTTATTTGTTTTTGGACGCATTCATAAAGATGTCATTAATGCCCCAATTAGCATTTCGTTAAAAAAATCCATGATGATATCTTCACACAGGTGAACCTTCATTTGAATTTTCTGACGACAAAAATATTTTTAGTGTTGCACTCACCTGCAAGACTGTAACGAATGTTTCGAAACATACTTCAAGCTAATGAAGAACAAAACAAGACAAAAGAACCATTTTGAGATAGATAAATACAAGCTATTGAAACACGACAGAGATAAACAAGTAGATAAAAGGAGCGAGTGAATCAGCGCTCGGAAAGGATGAAACAGATAAGCAAAGTAAGCAATAAAACGAGACACTGCACCGAAGCTAATATACCTTCAAGAAAAAGAAGAAATCTCTGTCGTATTTAATGTTTTGCTACAAGAAAAGTTGATATTTAATGTTTTTCTACAAGGAAAGCTGATATTTAGTAATTAAAAAAGTTAAGCGTGAAAAATTCAAGAGATCGCTGTAAGAACATTAAATAAATTTTGGAAGTTAATGAAATAGAACAAATACATTTAAGGGAACAACTTATTATTACCATACTTTCGACAAACGCGGCAAAAATGAGTCCTTCATTCGTAGGAACATGGAATTAGTAAAAAGATCAGTATCAAACAGAAAATAAAATTTGCTTAAACAAATGATTATTAAAAGAACCGAATGTTAGTTATTAAAATCAACAAGTAAGCTCAAAAATGATTTAGAAATGATTTCCTGATTCAAAAACTTTGACTAACACAAAAGCAGTTTGACCAACACGAAAAATTAAATGGAATGAACTGATGACTGTGTAATGAGACTCTTTCAAGATGTATGCACATAATAAATATATCACACAGCTGCATCAACACTAAGTGTTCAAGAACAAACAAGTTGTTCTTATTATGATCTATGTAGACGAAGTAAAAAGTTTTCAGAACCAACAAACAAACAGTGGGAAATTGTTTGCTCCTTGATAAAAAACTTTTGTATTTCTAAATATTATTAATCGTTTCAATAGTCCTTGAATCATTATAATTGATAACGGGAGGAAAAAAAAACACAATAATATAGCTTTATTTGTATGAAGATTTGGCTCTTCGAAATGAATTCCGAATTGTATTAATACACTGAAAATTATGTGTTTCAGGAATTAAACTTATATAACTCACGCAAACTGGTGTTGATATTGTTTTCCTCTATTATTTTAGTGCAACCAAATATCAGAAATACGCTATAATTCATCACATTGAACGCTTTATGGGAAACTACAGAAACTATAAATGAAAACTGTAAAAGTATAGAAATTAGTACAACATCCCATTAGCATGATGGGTCAAATTTTGGCAGTTTCAAATCCAGCATAAAAATAACTTACCAATACAGCAGTGTCATCTTTGGGAAATAATCTGCTACGAAACTGGCATCCAAAATCTGAAAAACCAAATAATATGAAAAATATTTCGCTTACCAATCAGTTCCTTCCCTTAAAATCAATAAATAACTCCAGCCTAATGAACAAATTTAGCTGGTATGAAAAATATTATTTTAACTTTGAGCAAAAAACTACTTTATTTCAGCATAAAGACGTTTCATATTTCATTTATTTTAGAATTAATGGTTATGAATGAAATGATACAAAAACCACCTGATAATGAAAACCAACTGTCATTAATGACAGTGATAATAACCGAGTGATTACAGTGATGAATGACAGAGTTAGTCAAAGGAGAATACTAAGGGCATTTAACTTATTGAGCTAGGTCTTAGATAAGCACCTGAACAGAAGCCTAGAAACACGCAGATTTGACTTCTGAAAGAAAAATATTATAACTTTAGAACTGACCATCTAAAGGGACATTTTTGAACACTGTTATCAATTGTTCATTGGAATGTGGAAAATTTGCATCATTAGTTGATGAAAATTCAGTATCATCAGACGATGAAAATTCGACACCAACTATAAAAACAATGATCACAGATTAACTCAGATGTCAAATTCTCAAAAATTGCTCTAGCAAATTTCTATTGAGTTCATTATTGGAATGAGCGATGGATCTCGTCAATACTTTCTGTTGGCAATTATTAATGACTATGACTGTAGTCCAGTGATTTATATATTACACCCAGAAGCATATAATCCAACTATTTTCTTCTAAGAATAAGAAGCATAAGAGTGGATCAATTTGCGAAACTCACGATAGCTCGAAAACTGATTCTTTTCGTTCGTCTTCAGCGCGTCTAGCTACAAAACATCACGGATACTAGAAAGCTCTTCCATGGACAAAGTACTAGTCAAAAATCTTCCGAATCCTCCTATCCTTTTATGAAACTAACCTTTGGATGATTTTCTTTCTCGAATTCATCACTAAAATCAGAAAATTCATCAAAATCAGTTGAATTGTGGGAAGGCTTCAGATTCTCCTCCCTTCCAACTCCATTCCCCACATCCACTTCAGCTTGTGAGACATAGTTATGATCTAAAATGAAGGTCTAAAAATTTTTAGAACCTTTAGAAAATTTCTTAAACGGTGCAAAATAAAATAACTAAAAAGAATGACCTGGAAAATGGGACGATTTGCTATGAGATAAGGACACTGATTTTCGTTTCTGCAACAAACTCATTTGAAAATTTGAAAATGCTCAGGTGTTTAAAAGGAAAATGAATGAATAATAGAAAATAAAGGAATAATAAGAAAACTAATAAGTGAATAATAAAAAACAGATAAATGAATAATAAAAAATACCGCTTAGAAATTCATTTTCACTAAACTTGTGAAGGACTAATCTAGCTGGCAGCCCTTCTACAATAACAGGAAGTTGGTCTTTACAGAAGTATGAGAAAACGACAACCAAAAGGTAACAGAAGAAAAACTGGAATGATAACTTTCTCGACAAGGAGCATTACCTTTGGTAAAAATATATCTGGATACTCGTCTTCACTGGAACCGGAAAATTCATCGCCAATAATAGATGGACAAGCTTCGAGCGAACCAAGCTGTTTTTGCTTGCAGTTGCTTGGACCTGAATGTACTGATTGGTCATATGAAGAAAAAATTTTGGGGAGATAAGTTAGATTTGTGAAGAATACTACTAGTTTCCCCTCTTTCTAGTAATGTTTGTAGTTGATTAAGTAAGCGAAATACTTTCATTTGTCAGCAAAACCAATCAATGTTGCTATTTGCCACCTTACTTTTCAAAAGAAAAAGAAGACACTAAATGAACAAACTGAGAAGCATGCAACACTTCGCTGCATCAGTCATACGAGATAGCGTAAAATAACCTTGATATCCAGGAACGGAAAAATCAGTGTTCGAGAAATCATTATTTTCCATCTCTATCTGCAAATATTACATAACGAATTCCGGAATCAGGCTTTCTGAACAGAATCAAGAATCAATCAGTAATTTACTGATATTTTCTACCGCATGGTGCGTACGTGAACCAATATTATATTCTAGATAGCCAAGTACTACAAAACCAATCTGTTCATATTAAAAGCCGCAGTGACTACTTGTTATATCACACATTAATGTCAACATAATACCTTGCAAGACTATGACTGACTAACCCGTGACTTAAAACGCACTTTGAACTAAACATGTAAAAACTCTGATTATCATGATGTGACTACACGTTAGCCATGATGTGATTTACACCCACTTTAAAGTAAATCATGTAAACAAAGCTCTTATTACCCATGATATTACACGTTAGGTAGAGGTCCCCAGTGAGAGATGCCAGTCATAAATCATATTGAAAACTACCAGAAAAAAGCAACCTCACTTGAAATTCTCAAAACTTTACAAATTATTCTATGCTACGAAAAGCCTTCCACGTCGTGTCAAAAAAGAGATAAATTGGTTGCTTGAAAGATTTACTGACACAATTCAAGGTACTTCCCATACAAGAAACGATACCGAATGAATCCATGAATTCATGTCACATTTCTCAACCGTAGTGTTATCTTCTACACCCACATTTGCAAAGTGACACGACGCGGTATCTCTTCAGTGTTCTACACTTTTAACTGGGACGGGTAGATTCATCGAATCTTGTCCTGGACATCCTATGCAGAACTTACAAATACATTAAAGCAAGCCATCTCATCATTCACTAAACGAATATTTTTTCGTAAATTTACGGAAAAAATGAACGCGAATATTTTTGAAAGTACTTTCTTAATCCTATGAAAGCTAGAAAATGACAGTTCATACATGCTCTTTCCAAAAATATAATTAAGTTGAAGATTTCATGAGAAAAAAAGTGGAACCCACAATCCCTGAGCTCTTCCAAGATCCCATGTTTTCAAGCTCAAGAATTACTCAAAGAAAGCCGTTCCTCCTCAAAAAAAAGTTTTTAGCCTGTCAAACTGAAAAACAGGGAAAAATAAAATAAAAATCCACACCCTTTCTATCGCGTTTGTAATTATGGAGGCGACTACCCGAACGGTCGAACTATATCGAATAAATCTTGTGCCCCGTTCTGCAATCTAATAGATTCGTTTCATTTTTTCCCATTTTCTTTATTTCTTTTCATCTACCTAGTCTTTCAATGAAAGGAAAATGCGCTACCGTAAAAGGAAAGGTAATCATTTCGTAGAATCAATTAATGAACCAAGTTTGTATAACATAAAAAAAAAAAACTAATCCGAAAAATTTAAAAAAATTACCAAATCAGATAGTTAAAAGTTAAGGACAGAATGAATAAGTGAAAAAAAACCTAGAAATGAATGGCAACTAGAAAAAACAGCGTAAGTTAATGCACAAACCAGGTAACTCTTTGAGAAGCTTCTTTGATTTACAGTTCTCTCAAGCGTTTTAATTCGGGCGCTTAAACTGAAAGAAAAAAGTGAAATTTTATAACTTTATGTTACGCTGCACCCAACAAAATCAGCAGACATACAGCGAAAGAAACTAAAGTGCAATTAAAATTATAAGGAAATAAGAAAAACCATAGAGTTTACAGTAAGGTGGTTCCATGAAAAACTTATTCAACTTACTCAGAAGTGTTTCAAAATTACACTTAAACTTTTTGCTCTTACTCATTTAAATTAAATGGCTAAGAAGGAAGTGTCATTTTTACCTTCAATAATAACAAGTAAAAAACAGCGAAGAAAATATCAAAGAAACTGAAAAATCCCTGCATACGTAAGACAGCAAAAAGAGCAAAAAGCGAAAGCCAGAATAAAAAATTACTTTTTCGAACTGAACTTTTCTACAGCATCCGGAGGTAAACCTGCAGTTTTCAAGAAGTGTTTCAAAATTACACTTGCATCATCCTTCTCTCCACGGATCCGCAAAATTGACCTTAAAATTAAATTAAAAGTGACAAGCAACAGAAAAAGATATCCAATGCAACAATTGATGGATCTCATTTAATCTTTAATCGTTAGAAATTTCAAACCGCATAAAGTTTCAAGAAGTTTCGTCATAACACATTTGTTATTTAATAGTAAGCAATCTTTCTAATTTATTCAGCATATTTCAATCTCTTAAATATAAAATATTAACATAGGCAAATGAGAAATCTTCGTACCATCAAACAGCATCAAGGTACTTGACACTTACATGAGTCTAGTTATATCTGGTCCCTTTTTAATCTACCCTTCATTGTCGTTAAATAATGGAATGTCCAAGCTTCTATCCCACAAGAACAAGAACAAACAGGTCTGGAGCCAATAATCTTTCATTATTTCCGCAAGAACGAAACGACTGAGTGCAAAACGCGCAAACCTTCTGTCCAGTTTACGTTGTTTGCTTTTGAAATATTCATTAAGACGTGCCTCGACAGCGAGAGCAAAATCACGGTTGTTCTCTACACTAACCATCCGATAAGCTTGCTGTCGCAGCTCGTCGTTGGTTGTCATCATAAATATTTGTGCTAGTGAGTCAGCCAAAATACCAGCTGGCTGAAAAATCAAATGACAAGTATGGCTTTGACAAAACTATACCTCTTACTGGAAAGTGAGACAGTCACACCTTACAGATAAATAAGCACATTGTCCTAAGATCTATCTTCGATTCGGAATGGTTCGTTGTATTCCAACAAGCATCTTTAACTCGGAAATAAACATTTTATTCTATGTCTTAAGAGGAAAGTGTTTGTTTTACTTCATCTTGGGACTTTTACAGATATTTGATAGGTTATCACTTTATTTTCAAATACCTTCTCAGCCTGAGTTCTACAACAGACAGAAGCAAAAAAATATGAAGGGAAGGTGCAAAGAAGTAATGAATTTCCCTTGATGCAGTTTTCTACTTCGGAATGAAGGTTTCCCCCACTCAGTCGTTTTTCACAAACGGGTGATATAGATCTAAAAAATTAGCGACAAAGCGAATTATTTCTACTGCAACTATATTATTTGCATATGAATAAATTTACGTTGTCCCACTGAACATTTAGATATATTGTAGTAAACGAAAATACCGATTGTCAACCATCTTTGAAGGAGTGACTCACCGTTTCTAGATCGACTTCTTTAAAATCCATAAGTTTGCAACCGAAAAACCTGTAAAACTGTGTATTTCCCGGAGAGTACTAGTAAAGCTGACGTATCACACAAAAAAAGGCAACATCCACTACGACAAAAAAAAAAATCCCAAAGTTCGGACTGCAAGGATGACAAAAACAACATATTGTTTCCTACCTCCTCTAAAAAAACCTTAACGCTTCCAAGTACTGCCATAAAAAACCTTAACAGTAAACTCGTTTTATAAATAATACAACTGCTACAACATTACGGTAGCATTACTACAACACAGTTTCAAGAACTACCACTGACGTTACTACATTCTGTATATGTATATTTAAAAAAATCATATTATACGAACACTAAAATGTTAAATCTCATTTCATGATTCAGTATGACGAATGGTACGTTCCATCAAGTTCAGAGTTATTCAAAAATCTGCCATATTATTTCACTGTATGTGAACTACCTTTCTTCAAGAGAAAATCAAAAACAATCGAGAAGTTCAACAAAGAATAACACAACGAGTTTTCTAAGTAAACAGTTACAATTTTCAAGACCCAGAAAGATATCGAATAATCCATCGAATCCAAGATTAAACAAAAAAAACGACAAGTGTCGAAAATAAAACAATAGATTTCCAAGTAGATAGTTACATTTCTGTATCATGTAATCTTCCCGTACTACAAAAAGCGACATTACATTCATCCTGTTCGTTAAAGTCATTCACAATACGACGTTTACGATTACCTGGAATATGTATTGTCAAATACATTGTACAGTTTTCGAACCCAGCTAAAAAGGAAAAAGATTACCGAAACAAGAGTCAGAATTTCCGCAAAAACTCCAAATCAAACTTAAAATCTTCAGAACTGCTAAGCTCATCTGTGCCACAAACTACCATACTCTTATAAGATTTTACAGTTAATACTAAATTATATCAAAAAAAACCAAATCAGTTCTCAATGAATTCCAATATTTCAGAAGCTCCTACGACAAAATTTAATGCAACCATCTCCCTTTGCTTATTTTCACAATACGTTAACCAGAGGAAACGAAATTGACAACGTTTGTTAGCAAATTATTTACGGCTAGCAGAGATAGGTCATATATACAATCTTCATAGAAAAGTTTTGTATAATTTTAGCCTCAGCCTTATCCTATATATAGATATTCACATTCAACAAATAACAATACATTCAGGAATAACTGAAGCACAGACTTTGAAAGAATGCATATACCTTGTTGCAAGTGAATAATAATAGAAAAAAAAAAAAAAACCTTTACTGGTTCTGATTAACACTTTCCATTTCGACAGATACATGAAATCCTGCAGTACATGATTTACCATTTGCCAATTTACCTGGACATAGCACTTTTCCCGTTCTCACAGATTTTATAATTCTGTAAAGTGAGAAATTCAAAAGTAGAACAAAGTAAATCTGATTTGACTAATATATACAAACTATACAATCCTCATCTTCATAAAAAGCTCAAAGTATTGGCAGAAAAGAAATTATTAAGTCGAGATAAGCAAGATTAACTCACTATCAACGTGTTTTACAGTTTCAGCGCTACATAAATTTTAAGGCACCATCGTTTAGTTTAGTTCAACTCCTATACCTCTGTGAAATTGTAAAACCACTTAAGGAGCTCTATTCAGAAGATAAGTCTCAGCTAGGTTAAATTTGGCTTTCCAGTAGTTCGGCAAATGGTTATAGAATCAAGAATTTTTCCATCCATTGGACTACACCTTAAAATTATTGAAGTTGAAGAAGCCTAAAAGAAACAAGAAAATATATGACTTTTATGAAACCAACTTCAGACCACATTGTCGGTGAGAAAAACTTCCGCATGTTTTGCAGAAAATTGCTCGGTTCTTCATAATTATAAATTTGCCACATAGAACGCATTTTTCCAGTTTAAATTTATCTGCGTGTGAACTAAAGTAATTTTGTAACTCAGCAACTCCACGAGTACCCAAGCGAATCGTTGCTCCTTTGTTATCCTAAAAAATTAAAAAATATTAAACTATTATTATTAACCAAATCTCTTTTAAATATACCAAAATTTCTAATAACGCTCTGAGAAGCAATCATACGAGCATCGCTACACAGGCTTCGTTGACCTAAGTTGCTTGTATCCATATCAGATCTTATGTGCATCAGCTTTTCGAAAATCGGCAAATAACTTTGATCTTTGCGTCATGATAAAACGCAGTAATCGGGTCTAGGACATTCCTGAATATGAATTTGAAAAACTATCACGTGAAGTATCATGAAACTTTGAGCAGTAAAAATGACAAACCATCACTAGCCATTTATTTGAAACACACCGCTGCAAGAGATATTCCTCATCTACTTTCTTGTCCTGCAAAGCAATTACTTTTTTCAACAAGTCTGCTTTTTCCTCCCATTATTATAAAGCTCAAAACCATGAAGTCGGAAAGGGATGAAAACGTGATATGAAAACCTCTGAAAAACGGTATGACCTCGTTTCATATCACATTAACACAACAAAAACTAGGAAACTCGTAGTACAAAAAAATCATGTACGAACTTTTACCAACAAATTCGAAGCGGTCGATAGTGCTTCATGTTTCAGAATTTCACCATTTTCACTACTGCAAATAGTGCTTATCCACAAATGAAAGAGCGTAATTTCAGTTTGTGTTAAACCAAATGCGTCGCGTAAAAAATCACTCGGTCTTCGGTCACTGAGCTGAAAGAGCTGCGTAATCAACAACTCATAAATGGATCAGAACATGTGAAATTTTTTAAGATATCACATATTACTGCAAGGTAATATGAAGCTGTTTATCAGCTAATATAATGAATTTGGTAATTCCAATAATCTTGTTAGTAATTATCAAGCTATCCGAAAAAAGACATTGAAACAAGCAATAATTTAGGTTTCACAAATATTCGTCAGGCCCACCAGTACGATGTAATTGTTCTGGTCATCATATTCGTCATCTGCTTGTATCAATCGAAGACTGAGCGAGGTTAGAGCATTATTGATAACCACGATCAACTTCTCAATAAGTATTTTTTCTTGTCCATCATTCGGCTGAGTAACAGTACTACCTTAAACTTATAAATGTATCTAGTCTAATAGAAAATATACAAATCATGGAACAGAAGTTATTACTCAGCTACATATAGTAACAAAATCTGATAAAAGTTGCTTAAGGGTCTCTTGAAAAGTCATACATGAGTTCATTTTGTGTAAAAAAAATTAATGAAAGAAAACAATTTAAAAAGTATGCCCTAACTCAGTTGCCATATAAAAGCTTCCACAAGAGAATCTTATTGTCAAGACCAGCTCAAAAAAATTTACCTTCCGAGTTATAGATCTGGACATATTGAACAAATTTATTGCAGAAATAATGAGCCTGCAAAGGATAAAGAGCTGTTTTATTTGTAAATCAAAGAGGTTTGGAAGCCAGACATACCACGAAAAATCCAGGTAATTTCACCCATAAGTGCACAGTTGTAGTAGGATAAAAAAAACTAATGATAAGTTGCAAATTATAGCCAAGGGATATATGAGCAACCTCACCTGCAAAATCCCGTGTTTAATCATGAGCTGTACGAGGTGCTTATGTGGCACACTGTAATTTCCAGCGAGTTCCAGCAAATTTTCCGATGAACTTGATTTTGAACGTTCACCCATTTTATGACATCAGTGTGGATTCTACTAAACTGTAAAAAGAAATTATGAATTATATGTCGGAATGCGAAGATCGGCGCTTAAATCAAATACATAAATCCCAAATAAGAACTGGCAAAGATGGAAATTAGAAAGTGAAATTTCAAAGCTCCCAAAAATCTGTTGAGTTAACCTAATCTTCTTGTGAGAGCAATGAATCAGTGACTGTACACCAACTGAAGTTGATGTCAATTGGTGGAAAAGCAAAAAAATTCCGAAACATACAAAGTGTCCCTGCCCATTCCAACATCCACATTTCACTTGATAAGAATGTTACACGAATTTTCATAAAAACCATTCTTTTAACAAATTTACGTCAAGTATTTTATTAGAAAACTTCATGAACCCACAAAATGAATGAAAACAAATAATGCATAATACTAAGGAGAATATATTTTCAGAAATGCCATTGAACAGCTTTCACGTGAACACACGATTAAACAGCACGTCCACACATCACTTAAACTCTTTTCTTTGGTAAATAATGTGATGGCCTACACAGAGAAGCACAGATAAAGCCACGGTGATGAACAGTCAACAACAACAGCCAACACCTATCCTATACTTAATGTAACCCGAAATAAGCATATGTACAAAACTGTAACGACGGCTCACATCACGTTCAAACCCGGGTGCCCCCCTTCGCCTCTGATTCTCCTTTCGAGGATTTTAAACGGTTTTGAATAACACAGTGAATACTGAATCCTGATTCTCAACCCAGAAATAAATCTCCGGATGGTGCGGGGAATCGAACCCCAAATCACTCCGGTGCGAACGGAACCCCCCACCCCTGCGCTATGATTCAAACAAACTGCCCCCCCAATCACGAAATTATCCATTCATATCCACTCACGACTATGCATTATTTTCAAAATAACGACATATTCCTAAGCAAAGAATACACGAGGTGAGCTCGACTACTTGGATGGCCATCCCAGTTTGGTTGGACAAGCTAAACTTCATTTAGAAACTAGCTACAATATAAATGCTCCACTCTCCATAATGTGAAATTACAGAACATCTAACACATACTCCCATAAGTTAAAAAAAACAGTTTGGTATCAAAAAACTGTTCTAAAGAAGAGCAAGAGTAACCTAAACAACGAGGATCAATCTTCACTTCCAGACGATCTCAAAAGTTATCGAATCCATATCCACCATGAAATCAGTAAGAAACAGAAATACGAGAAATAATAAATCTGATGAATATTTTTAAAAACAGTGATGGATATTACTCTTCTCGTCCAATTGGTTAATAATTAATTAGAAAAAATAACGTTACTCGACAACAGGAATGAAACAAACTTGTGCAGACACACAAAATACGAAGAAAAACGAGACCAACTATCCTTTGTTAAATCGTTTTATTTTATCGAACGGAGTTAAGATTGCAGATTTCGTCTAAAGCAGTGATTCTCAACCTTGTTCTGATCATGGACCACTTTGGCTTTTTTATTTGTAGCAGGGATCATAAGTTCAAAAACAGTAAATTCTGCTAATTTGAAAGCAAATTTTAGTCAAAACTTTTGGTGCATTAGTTAGAATCATAATATAAAAAAGAACATAATTTCTAATAACTGTAGCAGATCACATTTCAGTTCTCGCAGACTATCGGTAGAACCACTAATCTCAAAGTAGCAACAAGAACAACAAAAAGCGACTAGCGCATCTTAATCTATCATCTTTTTGCAACTTTTCCGAAGGGAAATTGACTTCGTAACAAGACACAGGGAAGCCACTCCAAGATATTCTACGTTTGGTTGTCCCTAACACTCACAGTCCTTCAAAACAGAATAACATATGAGAAAAAATTGTCGCACTGCAAAAATTAACGGTTAGCCAGGAACAGATGTAATAAAGTTACCAACAAATGAAAAAAAATTATTGGAAGTCGAAATTTCTTACGCTCGCTATTTGCCAGAAAGGAAGGAAGCTTTAACGGAAGCTTTTCCAAATTTCCGTTTTTTGTTTCATAAAAGTTGGACGAAAATGAATACTATAGAGATTTCACTAACTATGTTAAGTCTTATAAATGATACCAAAAATTAGAATGTTTAAGTACTTCATTATATAATAAACACAATAAATTACGATTAAGCGGTGGTGTTTGGAATATTTCTTTGGTATTATTAAAAAATAGTACATCGGATAATGAAGTGCTAACAAACATGCATGTTTTTTGAGTAATGAGTGTTAATCTGAATTCCAAGAAAAAAATGCATTTCTTAAGGTAAATATTTAGGTGCTTAGATAATAAGCCAAAAATTAAAGATGAGTAAATGATGCTCCCTTAACATCGATGTTCCAAAATATCATCTGAAAGAAGATGCGTTTCTCTCAACTGTTCAACGAGATCCCAGTCTACTTTTTTCATTGCATTATGGATGCGTAAATCTTCATACATATATCTTAATGCATCAGCAGCGAATGATCGAGATTTTAGCTTAGGCACTGACTCCTCATTCTGCAAGAAAATGCAAGCAATTACATATCTATCGAATCCAATTAGAATCAACATATAATTTATGCCATTCATTCTGGTTCAGTTTCTTACAGTAGTTATATCTCCTGCTATTAAACATTTGTGTAATATACTATTTAAGTAATAATCTATGAAGTAATATATTTCTTCGATAATCAGTTCATTTCATTTTCTGCCAAAATTTATCACGACTGCAATTTATCACGACTGGAATGAAAGATTTTGCTAAATATCACAACAAATTTCTGAAGGCTGACATACTCCATAAAGCTGGAAAGCCTTATTATATATAAAATGACAGTCAGGTACTCAGCAGAGTAATCATCAAAACTCATATAAATTATCAAAGGCTAGGTGTTCTTACGTCCATAAAATATACAAACTTCAAGAAGTCTTAAAACTTTGTGTACGATCCAATTACTGCTAGTGCCACAAGCACTCTTCATTTCCATTATTCGAACCAGAAGGCATCGTCCTAAAATGTTATTTAAAGGGCCAAATTCGGCAATCCGTCCCAACGAATCATGAACTGTGCCGAAAAATTCAACCCACAAATTTGATGAACCATATCGATAACTTTCTGGTATAAAAAGCCTCACTTGTACCTGAAAAAATTGATAAAGGATTGAGTATGAAGTACACTTTTCATTATATTCCATAACAGTTCCTGTTTTATCATTCTTCTCTGCAATCTCGTCCTAGTTTAAAGCAACCGCAATACCGAACCATTAAGAAACGGCAGAAGATGAATTCGAATTATTCTGGAGAATAGCGGTTGGATAGCGTAAGTCTTTTGTTATGAATCAACGTATTGCAACAATTGGGACAGTTACCGAAACAATAGTTCTGTAGGATCGTGTAGGATAAACCGGATTGACAATGCACCAGTCTTTTGCAATGTACTTACATCTTCCTAATTCATTGTGTCCTTGCAAATATATATCACTCAGAGAGCTGAAAAATGAGACCAACATTTTCTTACTACGAAGTTACTGATCCATTAAAAAGATCAAAAGTCAGACCTATACATCTAATATTTGGATGGAAAGTTAATGCTTCTATTAAAATATCTTATAACATTTGGAAAGCAAAACTTACGAGGGTATGAATTTAATCCATTCACCATGTCGTATCTGCTCACCAAAACACAACGAAAGCATTCCTCTACCGAGTGCTGATGACCAAATAAAAGCCGCTCCATTAAGGGAGGATGTTACCAAACCAACAACTGCTTTACTTTTCTTCATCTTTTCTCCCTGTGTTCCTTCCGTTGAAGCACATGGCTGAGAATAAAGAAATTGTTGCTGAAAAAACGACCTCTTTTCACAGATAAAAGAGAACAGCCAAAGAAATATCCTAAGAAAACTGAAAGCAGAAATATATATGCAGAAAATCTTAAGATATAAAAAAAAGAAAATACGAACAGTGACCCCTCATCAAAGTTAGCTCGAAAAGACAGACCGCAATGTATCCAGGCAAAGAAATTAATATGAAAAACAAGAAAAACAAACAAGCGCAAAGAGTTACACTAATTTAGGGCAAACTTATTTTTGGTGCTTAAACAGAAATTCCTTGTATCTAATTGCATTGACTACTATCTTGGTTACCTCAATAGTTGGATGACGTTTGACAAAACGTAAATGGAACATTTAGGGACGAACAAACATTAAGTATTAAAACATATTCCATATGCACAAGAAAAAAAACAAAAAAAACTTCTTATTCCACGGACTTGAAAGAATTGATCTCTATCATTAAGGACGATGCTAGCCATATATCGTGAATAGCAAACTTACCTCAGTAAAATATGATTGCTTCGAAAAGCTTTGTCCCCGTAACTGATTATATTCTTTTAGCTCATCGGAATCAATATCACCGCTACTAAATGAACTTTTAGTAGTATGTGTAGCAATATCAGAACAACTACCCCCAAATATACCGTTCGGTAATTCCATCGATGAGCTATGTTCTGATGGAAGACTACGTACTGATGAATATCGCTCCAAAGATGTTCCCACTATTTGCTCAGGAAATCCCTCGCTAATATACCAGGATGTTTTGTATAAGCGTTCAAGATTTGAAAACGCTTGCGGGATTCTGAAATACAACTGTTTTCATATTAAACGTTAAATTATAAAAGATCAGTAGCATCGCCTGGTCATCCAATGCAACAAGCATTACAGACTGGTGTGTTGATCATGTCTTTCTGAACAAATCCAGTTATGACTGGGGTTAATTCGCATTATTCCGTACACTTGCTCACTAAGTGCAATTTCCGGTAAGTAAATAAATGTTTAACTAAAGTTCATAGAATCCTCAACGATTTTTCAAAATACGATATAAAAACAGTCATTACATTGGGTTTTTCATTTTCATTTGTTTTGGATGAAATAGTTTTAATTTAGATGAAATAGACAGAAAAAGAAAGATTTAAGCCAACCTTTCAACCCACACTTCATAATCATAGCTTTCATTCAAATTCGGGAAATTTTGGAATATTCCAACAACTCCTAAATCATTTGAATGAGCTAACAAATTACAACCGGAGATATCGCTGGAACGAAATGAGATTCGTGTTTTAACCTGAAGGGAAGAGAAATGTCCACATTTATAATTCATTCAATTCTTCTTAGCCTTAGGAAGCCAAAAGATGTAAAATTAACTGCGACTTTACTAATGTATTAATTCGTCTTCAAATTGCGCTTAAAGTTTTGAAAAATCTGGAAACCGTCCACTTCAATGATCTGATTATCAGTTTTGGGACCTCTCATTATTCACTCTTGAAAACCAAAAAATGAAGGAACAAAATATTTCTACCCACCACGACATCTCCGTGTCCATTCAGCTTGGTCGACAGTAAATCCGGAATATCGATAAAGTCATCAACAAAATTGCTGTCGTCTTTAATGCTGAAGACAATCCAATCACCAACTGATGGCATCGATCTATTTGTAGGTACCATTCTTTTGTCCAGAACAGCCTCCCCTCCAAAACTCTTCGACCACACATACAGAAATTCGTTTTTTAACTTTGTTATTAATCCTTTATACAACATCCTGAAGGAATACAAAATCTCTTCAGCAATTCAAAACATATCCCACAAAGACAGGAAGCAAGCCTTCAAAGTCACACCTCCGGAGCCGAAATTGACAGTGTAACATACTCTTAAAATGAGCCTTTGACTGGTTAATGATAATGTGTCAAGTTTCCGGTGAGATACATTTGTATCTTGTATTATGAGAAAGCTAAGAAAGTAAACAACATAACCCCAATTTCTACGACAATACGTTATCGAACAAAAATAAAGAGATCATAGAACAATCCAGAAGAGCGAAACTTGCTTTAATTTGTTTACTGTAAATTCAAAATTAGGAATGAATTGCTTCGATCAAACCATCCAAATCTCGGACCGGAAGAGGAAAAGCCGGTGTAAATACCTGGAAACAACCTCGGACTGAAATACCCGCCCAAGTGCATTGTGCAACGATGTATCTCTCAGAAAAACGGTTCACTTCTTGAAATGGCTCAGGTAAATGCTTCGCTTTAAATTTGGATTATGCTCATTTGCTCGATCTTAACTTGCTCACGACATCTCGAGATCATTATTACTATCCCGCAATATGAAGGTGTCATCCCGTTTTGATATAAAGATATCATCCTCGTCTTCCTTATTTCTGCTGAGACTTCGGTATATTTGGATATGTAGTGGATGCATTTCATGGTAAGTATAATTAACAAATGCAGCGGAAACGGAAAGGTACAGAAAGCGCCAAATAGTTGTGGAAGTCTTTACGTTAATCTCTTTTGACATTCAATGGAAGGAAGCGAATTAAAAACGTCACTTTAAACATTTCGGTATCTAAAATGATTTTTGTGTTTTCTATATTCGTGTTGGACAGAACTCTGAATAACTCCGACAATTCCAAACTTTCTAGATCTCCAAATCTTGTTTTATATTAACAGTCTAATATCTGTAAAATACGAAAACAAATTTTTCTTATTCTTTTGCATACTTAAGTATATCGCAGAACCAGTCAGTTCTAGAGTAGAAAATAAAAAGATTTGTAATTTTCCAGAGATCGTGAATGTTTCTTCGTCTTCTTCTCTTCATATGCTTTCTAGGATGTGATGATATTACCGGTTATTAATATTTACTCGTAAACATCAAATATTTGCATTTCATTGAGGGAAAAGTAACCAAAAATTCAAAGTTATAACCAGTTAGTAAGTATTTCTTGGAACAAAGATGTGATCACATAAAAGCGCTTGCTGGTTGTTGTAAAGCTGAAACGGACAATAGCAACATTATCAGTTTGTTAGCACTGAATTCAAATTTCGTCTACGACAACTTGTTAACTTCCAAATGATTCAACATACTGCCATCTTCTTAAGCGCTCTTTTGATCGGTGACTTTAATTTCAAATTTCACTTCATCACTTATACTGCTTCTAATAATATATTGCCTAAAGCAGAAGTATAAAGCACTTCCATTGATCATGCTAGGACGCTGTTATTGAGGAATAGACTGAATAAGCTTATTAATGAGCTCCGATGAATTTCCAATCAGAAACGAGAAATAAACTAATTAGTTTATCATATGTGATAGCTGGAATGTGATAAATCATGATTGATGTTACTGTATCATCAGTCCACACTATTTCTCTACCAAACATTCTCTCAAGTATTGTTAATAATATGAATTTTCAGTTATCATTGCACAAACATGCTGTCCGTTGTCACCAGCTGGATTATATGGTAAGAGGTCGATCAACATTTTGATTCCGATACCATATCATTTCGCATTTCCTCAATTAAGTGGTTTGGGAGGTGGATCGGGCCGTTTTCTGGGTCCCTTGTACTTCGGATACTTCACTCGATGTAAGTTCATCAGTTTCTTCAAATTTCCATTCTGACATTACTGATCTTGCAGGAGAAACAAATTTTAGTTGGTAGTAAAATGAAAAAGAAATATGAGTCTCACTTAGGGTGTCATAATCAGTAAGGTCTAAAATTATGATGTAGGATTGTGGCTGGATTCGATTGCGGAATCTGATGGTTGTTTCGAAATTGAATCGATAAGCAAAGAACTGCAAGAATTTTGTTTGTATTATTTTGAAGTTGCTGTCCCAAATCAGTAGCGGTTCAGTTATAAGAATAAGTTAGATATGCCATTTAATTGAATTGGATTCAAAAAAAGAAGTTCCAGCTTGATTTTAGTTCAAAAATAATATAGTACTTCCCAAAAAGTGAAGCTGAACGAGAGAAAATCCAAAATTGGAAATAAGGCAGTATTTAAATGAGTAATAATCGATAATTTAGCAGAAGTATCTTTTGATTTCTTGAATTTTAAGATCTTGGACCAGCAAACGCAAATGGCATCTGTCCAATTGGAGTAAATATTAGCGGTCAATGTTGGTATGATAGTATCGGGAATAATAAAAAATAGTTTTAACAAGTGAGAATGAGAAACATGAACTAAAGAAAAATTGATCTGCATATAACGTTTTATCTTTTTTATTAGCTCTTTTTGAGTCCCATTAATTATTGAAATTTAATCTCAGTTTTATTTCTTTTCATGTATTTTATTCCATACATTTCTGTTCCTTTCAACAACACTATCCCGAAGATTTAGTTCCGAGTTTTCGTAGCATATGACTGTCTTACTATAAATTTCTGATTCATCTGTGTTTGCGTCTAATTTCCATAATACTTCACAAACCTTGCCTGACTCATTCAAACAAATATAAGTAGATAATAAGAAGGAAGATATTAAGACTGATTCTTCCGATAGTTCATAAAATGCTTTTAGAGCCAAAACCTCTAGCGTCTATTGTCTGAACACAATATCGCAATATTCTTTTTTTTCCTGCATTTCACTTCAAAATATGCAAATTTGAATTTAGATTATTTCTTATATTCTAATTTGGAAAGTTAACAGATTATAAAATTACTTCATCCTGCACTTTAACTTGTCTATATTAACTTAATGTGTTTATCTGGCATTTTAAAGGGATAGAATACTAGCAGCTTACTTCGATCGCATGTTGAATGAATATCTAAGCTCTGTGAGATTTAAATAAAGTTTAGACTTTTTTTTCAGAAATACAATCGAAAGATTATTTTAAAGCTCCACCTTGTCATTGTAATTTTATGGTGAATTTCAAAATCTTCGATACAATTTCACCTAAAACTTGCTACGATGTTAAAACTTTATTGAAGATTAAGGAAAAATCAATGGTTTATCCCAATTTTTTTTGCCATGGACCATAAAGTTTAAAAATAATAAATTCTGTTAATTTGAAAATAAACTTCAACAAAGGGATTCCGATACTTACACTACAATATTACAACCCGAATAAATCTCTATCGCGCACAAACGAATCAAAGTATAGCTTAAAAAACAAAAAAGAAAACAGATCGCACCTGTTTTCTATTGGTGGTGTTATTACCTTCGTGGACCACCGATTGGGAACCATTACATTGTTTTTATTTGTTAAATTACATGTGTAGTTTAATAAATAAAAACAAAAATTTGCGAAGGAATGAACTTGCTTTATCATATTGAACAAACCAATGAAAGCGTTAAACGGAAGGAAGTACAAAAGGTTTTCCTACTTTTTTTTCCCTACTCTGAAACGTTTTTTGTTTTTGATTAGTACAAAACCAAGTAACTTGACACCGTATTCTCATTATCAGTTTCTACAGTGATAACAAAGAACTGATAAATGGAACGATTGCTGACTTATCTAGCTAAGAAATGAAATGCGAGGTTTGTCGTCCTGAATGCCGATCTTGGTGATTGATATTGGTAACTAAGAAGTTCTTTGCGTAGTATTTCAGAAATGCTGGTTAAAGTGAATGTTGAAAGGGAAAGCAAAATTAACTCTGATTTGACAAAGACATACTGCTACATTCGGGAGGATGAGAAGTTCTATATAAATTCATTAACCAGTGTGCACGTCCAGGAAATTTACTGAAATTTATTTCACTGAAAATACTGCCAAACAAAAATACATCGGTACCTTATGAAGAAAAGGAAAGCATTCCAGGCTCTTCGAAGTGATACTATCAAATTCATTCAGACAGAATCATTCAGCAAAAGCGTTGATGTCTCTGTATATCTTTGAAAATGAGATATTGAGACGGTCAAATGTATAAACCTAATATTAGTCATTTTAAAGTATCATCAGTTTCTTTATGAATTCAGAACTTTATTCAATTACTATTAAAACTGTCAAGTTAAGCAAAAGCTTTAAAGGAAAACCTTGGCCTTTAACAAATAGTCTTTAACCCAAATAGTCTTTCACATCTATAGCTGCTGAGGGGAATCCTGGAATCTAAAAAAAATGAAATTTTGAGAAAACCATTTTAAGTCTTATGGCATATCGGGAAAAAGTACAAACACTAATCATAAGATTATTGCTATTTCACCATTCTCTCATAAGTCATCAAACTCTTGAAGAAGGGAAAATTTTAGTTTAGCTATATAAAAAAATGGTCCCGAGTAGCACCAGGCATTTTAGATCTACTATGGAAAGTCGGTAGGTGAAGAAAAAATGGAAGATAACTTTCTAAAAAAAAAAAATTAAATGGGCTTACATTCAAGTGTCTCATGTTTGAAGTGATTGATGCTCTAGTGGTAATTATTATTAATCATAAATTACGCCGAGTTATCTCATCAGTAAATCATGAATCATAAACATGTACGTTTTCGCAATAACCACTGATATTCAAGGAATGCTTGTTGAATGTTGTCATTAATCTTCCCTGAAATCCTGAAATTCTCTGAAATTCCTGAAATTTCCTGAAATTTTCCTGAAAATCCCTGAAATTCCCTTCCCTGAAATTTTTTCTCTTCCCTGAAATCCATTGATCACTTTGATGTTTTCCTGTCATTATCAAATGCATCCAAAAAAGTGTTAGTAAACTTCCAGTCATTGAAAATTCTTATAAGTACTTGAACAATAAACTCGAAAGCATTGAAACTCGATAACATTATTGGTTCGCTTTAGAGACTGAAACATTTGACAGTTTAATGAGTTCAATCGATTTTTTTGGATAATAATATTCAAAGGATTATGGGTTCATATTGATTCATTATAAAATGAAGAATTGGCTCTTTTTGTCTGATGATTTTCACAGTTCATTATGCCGGCATTTTTATGCAAAATTCCAGTGACTCTTCCATAATTCGTTTTACTAAAGAACATTTACTGCTTCGTTTCAGAATAATACATCATCCAATTGAGACCTCTCAGTGACAAATTAAAGTCTTTAATTGCACTTTGTAGTGAATCACCCTTTTAAAACGAATTCCATTTTCATTACTTCATTTGTTTATGTTTTTTGAATTGGAAAGATAGTTTTCGAGCATCGCTAATCGATCTATCATTTGACAGTTTGCAGAAGATCCAGCACTACTGCTCGCTCTGAGTTGATAGCAATCATTTATTCATGTAAAAGAAAATTTGTTGTATAAAATTCATACTAAATTCAAAATACAACAGCATGATGATAAAAGTATTGGAAGAGAAAGGAGTTGATTGATAGTAAATTCTTAATACTTATATTGAAATAAAGGATTTTTAAATTTCATCAAATAACATCTCCATGCTCAGCAAGTTTGTTTTTAGTGCTTTCACTCCTGAAAGGATAACAAACGATGTGGATAATGAATGATTCACTGAATAAGAATAGTTTAAGGAATTCATTTAATAATCATCATTCTTCAGTTTACGTATTGGTTATACCTGTTCTTCAGGACAAGTTCACGCACCATCTCAAAGTTTAGTTCACTTTCTTAAAACATCTAAGTACCTATGGAACCTTCGAAACTTTTTGTATACCTATGGAACCTTTGTGCTCACAAACACAGCTTCCATCTTGCTGAGTATAAGTAGACGAACAGCTGAAAAGGTAAGTCACATTTTATTGATTACCGGCCATGCCAAGATTAGCTAGAAATTTCGTGCCCTCAATAGTGGCTAAAACTTGCAATCTAAACAACTTTCCCAGAAATTATGTAAGTGATGGATGTATCAATGCTTCTTCCGCGGTATCACGGAACAGTAATAATAGTTCAATTTAGTTCTGCTATTACAAATTATATATATAAGAAAAATTTACAAGAGACAAAGCAGTGGTTGTAAAATGAAAATTATTTTTGAAATTTTAATTTTTCAGTTGCAAATTTGTTGCTTCAACTGCTACTGCCTAGGTGTAGCAATAGCAAGTGGAGTATCAACATTTATTGTGTATCATATTACCGAGATATGGATTTGGTGGATTAAGTGGGCTCGAAGCTTTCCGTGGATTGGGAGGACCAGAAACGAGCTTTAAGTATTATAACTAATCACAATATGTTTATCAGAAACATCTACTCATTTATGAAATGTGTCTAGGTTCTAATAAATCAGAATATCAGCCACAAAATCTCGTTGATCCACTTTATCAATCTGTCAACAGATTAGTCAGAACAATATGAGACAGTATCTTCTCGACTTATTTCAAGTTACGAGGGTATTTGTCAATGTAAGTCACATCTTCTACAATACAGTTGAATTTGGTAGTGGAAGTCTCACTTACCTTTGACATTTGCCTCTGTTTTTATAGAAAGTGAAAATATAAAGTGACACGGATAGCTTCAGAATAATTAATGCTGAATGTCGTTTAGGAAAACAGAAAGAGCCATCATTGATAATAAAAAGGAAAGAAGACTTTTAAATTATACTAATGATAGAAGAGCTACCAAAAATACACTTCAACCTTTTCAGATGGATTAGCAGTGAATGATTTGTGTCCAGTTGGGGGTCAATATCGGTCGTCGATATTGTGCATTGGATAGTAGGTCAACATTACTTGATTAGTCAGGAGAAGATGAAATTTCCATGTCGTCTGAACTACTTGCGATATTTGATATATTACATTTCAGGAAGGAATTAACAAAAAAGGAAGCAACTTATATCTTTCATATCATCTTACTTTCCACTTCATGAATTAATTGCAAATTTTTAAAGAAAGGAAATTGAAATTTTTCCAAGCTTTTTGAAAAACCATTCAAAGAAGTAAAAGGAAAGTTCTTTTTAAGTGACGTAAGACTTACAACAACAGCAAGTGTCCAAGTGTTGCCTTCTTTATTTAGAATATCAAAACATATTCGATTGAAGCAATTAACTAGTGCTAATTCAAAACTTTATTTATTTGATTTAGGAAATTGTATTTTAAGTTCAGCGCTTAAAACACAATGCAATCTCCATTTACTGCAATGGAGTGTTTGTCCTGCTAGAGATTTTCATCATTTCATAGGAAATGAAGATACGGTTTTCTTTTTAAAACATTTAACCATTCTCTATTAGCAGAAGCTACATTTTCTGCTTCGTTAAAAATACTGCGCAGTTTTTTTTTTGGCTTCTTCACATAAACAAAAAGTAGCAATTAGTTGCAAAAAGTTAATCACTACTTTCCTAATTTCTTATTTCCAATCCAGATTTTTTGATATCTGACAATACTTCAGAATACAAAGTACACATCAGACAATTTCGAGATTCAATTTTTCTGCAGATATTTCAAACACAAATTCACCGTTACCATTGTTAGGACAATACTATACTGCAACTCCAGTGTTCAGTTGTTCAAATAAGATCACTGGATCTGATCACTTCACATGCAGTTATGTAAAAAAGTTTACAAATGCTGTGGTAAAGACTAATAAAGCCATTGTAAGCAAAACCAAGGATTGATCTAATGAAAGTTGAAAGGAATAGTAAGAAATTATGGATTATTGATTATTGTTTGTAATCAAATTTTTTTTTCAGATTTCAAATTACTGTTTAAGCTTCTTTCTTTGAAAATAAAATTCCAACATATCCTTTGTCTGGCAGATACCGATGCCCAGCTCGTAGATTTAAGTAAACGATTAAACATCTGAAGACCACATTTCCGGTTTATTTATGTATTACATGATGAAGGGACATAACAAAATTAAAATTTTATGGTACAAATATGCGAATTTCCATCCATTGTTTTTGAATTTAAATTAACACTGAAAATGTTTTGCATGAGATTTTAGTAATAATTGAAGAAATTTTAGGTGCACTAAAAACACCTGTACATTGGATGAAAGAAATGTTGACAAGTAGCTTGAAGGACATATAGGAAACAATAAAAACCATAACCCAGGGAACGTAACAAATAATAAAAGTAATGAAATTTTGTCAGATCATCAAATTATCGCAATACCGCAACACTTATCTAACCAATCAGTTTATTTCTTGGTTCAGTATTAAGTGTAATGCTTAGCAAGCGGTATAGTGTCTATTTACCTTATACCAATCATACCAATCTACCTTACACTCCTGATTATGAGGCGTCATCATCATTATTAGTAAACCAAAAAATCTATAAATAGCTATAAACGGGATGGTTTTCTACTTCCAGTTATTTATAGATTTTCTAGTCTACTGGTAATGAATGACTTTCTTTTGCTATCAGTCAGAGCGTCAATGATTGCCTTGTCCACACTTTTCGTCTTATTTTGGTTGAAGGAAATTTCATTTGAAATTTTGACAGTTCAAAAATTTCCCATAATAGGTAAACCATTTCACAGAGTTACTCGTACTCGATTCGTTCATTCAAAAAATTCCAACTGTCTGGAGAATTTACAATTAATACCTTTAGTTGAGGCTTCGAACTGCAGCTTCGCATGAAGTAAACAATTTAAATATAGATGATTTGGGCTTAATGGAACGTAGAATAGTAGATCATCTTCGATCCTGACCGCTGGATATGCCCATCTGTAGTGTGTGGACAACCTTCCCGGAAAACTAAAACCTGATGGTATGAAAACAACCGTACTATTGTACTTCTGAATCATAGTATAAAGTGCAAAAATCTTTGTGTAATCATAACGTAATGGGAGCATCATTCCTGATCTACGTCAATCTTTAGAGAATGATTATTTATTGAATTGCAAATATTTTTCAAAATATTTTTGGGAATAAGAAAATAGTTTCTTATAATTTTAGTTACCCAACAGTTTTGCTACCCGTGCTGTAGAGAATGGAAGTACCACAATCCATCTATTATCTTATTTCCATATCCTCAACAACAACTTGTAATTATGTTTAATGTTAACTTAAAGTCAGTGCAAATAAGCAGAAAAACGCTATCAATTTAAATTATTTCCTGACCAAGGACCACTTTGGCTTCTATGTTTGTAGCAGGAACCACAAAGTTCGAATGCAGTAGATCCGGTTAATTTGAAAGTAGATTAAACTTAGAGCAACATTACAATATAAAAAGGAGGAATATAATTTTTAATAGCCCTCACGGGTTATTTTAGTTCCCGCAGAACCATCGATTAAGAACTACTGATTTAGAAAGCCTAGCAATGAATGGAAATTGCCCAATTGGTTAAGACATCAACGGTAATGCTCTAATGGATAATCGGCGTCGAGATGTTGTAAAAACCAGATCCTTATCGAAAACGATTAACAATATATGTTCACAAATAGCGCTGGAAACTTCTACATATTTTAATTGACAAGTTAGGAATTTTCGAAGGCCCACGTCTTGACTCATTTAATTCTCCATATATTATCCAGTGAAACACGTAGCCCAAATTCCAGTCATCTCGCAGATTCACATTCAACGAATTGGTCGGCATAAATTAATCCAGATAATTTAATTGTACCCTTTTAAATCACAACCTCACTTTGGTGGCTCAAAACTCACTTTGGTCACAAACTCACTTTGGCGGCTCAGAACTTATATTTTATTCATGAGTGCGATGATAAAAACGGCCAGCCCACAATAAATTGTTATCAGTGAAACAATGTAACACAGAAAACACAATGTAACATACAAAAATCCTAAATAAGTTGCTCAAAATCAATCATAATTACCGGGAAAACTGCTTCAGTGAGCAAACAACTCCGACTGTAATGGCAATCATTACTAAAAATTTTTCCTATTTTAGAAGAAAAAGTATGTTATGCACGAAATTTCTTTGAAAACCAACTTCAACTCAGAGGCGGGGATGATGAAAATACGTGGTAAATGCAACGAAATAATCATCTAAGCAAATTCTGCAATTCACGAAAATTAAAAAGTGCTTGATAATAAATCGAATGTTGCGTAGTAAAACCAAGCTAACACGAATGGTGACTGGTTCCCTGTGTTGACTTATCTTCATTAATATCAATGATTAAATGTCGTCGCAAGATTTTCGAGCCACTAAGTTGCAATCCTTCGTCAACACCATAATGACTCCTACAAACAACAATCAGGTAAACATTACCTAAGAAAAAACCAAATTCCCTTTATGTCTTTAATTGAGAACTCTGCACATATTTCTTCCATTCAGAAGAAATCACTTACAGAAGTTAGTGGAGTCTTAGAAAAGCTTCTGAAAGCTAAATCGCTGAAACCAAGCTTACATCAAAGATATAACACAAAAGAAAAATCATTCGAGTTATCTTAGTAGGTAACTTACCTTTTTTCACAACCATTAACAGTACTGGATGGATGCTTGTCAAATTCATCATTATTTGTTACAGCCGGTGTTTTGAAATCCTCCAGTAACAACGATTTAGGTAATGGATTTCTATCAATAATGAAATCGCTTTTATCGTCGAAATCCTATGCAAAAGTCGAAAATTTCAGAAATGAATGTTGCAGCACCCCGGAAGTAAGCAAAGGAAAAGTAGAGATTAAATTTTGGCGATATAATATAGGAATTTTCCTTTTTGACTCTCACAGTTAACCGCTACAACACGATTATTATTATATATTACAAAAATACTTATGAATCTTACACTACTGAAAATCAAAAATGTTAGTAGTTGGAAATCATAAGAGAGGGAATCATAAGAGGGTAAGATAAAAACTTTTCTTTTACTTACTGGGTTGCTAAGTCGTGCAAGAGCTCAGAGTGTTTTACTGTTCTAGACAGAAATCTCAAAAAACTTTTCCTAATTTGGGAGAAAAAGTATGTTATGCACGAAAATTCGTACAGGATTTAACATTTCAAAGATTATATGATCTCCTGGAAAATTTTTCAAAAAACTAGTCATCATATCAGGTTAAAATATTTCATTTAAACTGAGACTTCACATAATGAACAAACAAAATTGACTGAATAGGATAAAATCGTGAATTTTGAAAGTATCACCTCTTTTTTTTCAAGGGTTCGGCTTTTCAGAACAACTTCCGAATCGTTATTTTTGTTAATGTAATACGGGATACCAAGACCATCCATCGAAAGTGAACAGAGCATTTCATTTAAATCTTTGATCCCAAGTTTTGCACAAAACTCTGTCGACTGAGGATTTCTGAAAACAGAAAAGTTTCATCGATCGCTAATATTCAAAAAAATTTATCCAAAAATGGACAAACCATGCTATCATGCCTCAATCTTTTTGAGAATTTGTTTTGAAGGAAGCCATCTTTCCATAGAATAAGTGACATATTTCCAAAAAGAAAATCCTAACTCCATGATCAAGGTAACAAAAGGTGAAAATGCTACAGTGGAAAGAAGTGTCGGAAAAACCGAGAAAATTTATCATACATTAAATGCTTAGAACATTTCTAATGATTCATCACTGCATTATTCACCAAATCACATTCCTCAAAAATTATCTCCCATACGTTTCTTTGTTATCTTTGTCTAACGGAAATACACATTTTTTACAGTTTCCTTTGTATCTAAATGAATACCCTCTAACGTTTTATGTAAACCACTTCTATTTCTTTATATATATATATATATATATATATATATATATATATATATATATATATATATATATATATATATATATATATATATATATATA